GGCCGCTCTTATGTGCTTATGTTCCTTACTGTACCCTTTAGCTTTGGAACCCATTGGCCCTTCTGCAGTAGTCTAGGCTCTGAATATGAATAATTCACAACATGTTAGGTCTGATTTATTAGCCCACTACACAATCGTCTACTTACAAAGGGCCAAGCTGATGGCAAAGCGTCCATTCACTTTAAAGGGTCAGGATTTGACCCATAACAAGCGCTTGTGTTTCAATGCTGCAGCAGCCTCTGGACCGAGAGACCATTTTCCCTACCCCCGGTGCGCGTCTCTGGGCAGGTGATTGATCATGGCAGTAGCAGTGCTGGGCCTGCAATAGGGCTTGTTGGCAGCTGCCGCCCCGGGAGTCCGTCTGAGAGCAGAACACACCAGCAGTGCGATGGGAAGATTCCTTTCCCCAGCTCTCCTACTGACCAGCAAGGGCTACAGCTTCCCACCCCATCCTTGGAGCGGGCAGCAGGGGCCCTGTAAGTAGGAAAATATACCCCTCCCACTCAAATACCCTGCGGTGGACAGGGACACGGCGCCTCCAAATCGCTGCCTTAGACACAGATTGTCCATTGGCAAAAAATGTGTAGGTGGGCGGCTCTGCCCCGCTGCAGAGGGGCTGCTGGGCTCCTCCCCTCGCCAGCAGAGGTGGCTTAAAGAATTGCTGGTTCTTCTGGTTACTTCAAGTGAGGCACTTAAGTTTGGGCGCCCTCCCCAAACTCCTTAGGAGAGCCCTGGTCTCAGTGGCCTGTCTCTGTGTCCTGCACGCCAAGGAACAGTGTGTCCCCGGCATCAGCGTGTAGGATCGTGCCGAGGAGGAAGTGGGCTGGGAAAGGGGACACCCAGACTCTGAGTCTGCTGTGGTACCCAGAGGATCCCACAACATGTTGTGTACATACTTTTCCTTTCCTCTTGGATTCTGGAAGCACTGCCTGGTATTCTGGCCTCTGTCCCACTGGGTAAGCCGCCCTTTCAGATAAGGGCACTGCCGACATTCCTTTGTGATCAGCAAAGGCCAACACAAAGCATAAGCAATGCCTTCATCCTAGTGTTTTAGCTAGAAGCCAGTCAGCCTTAGATTGTCTGTCCCCGCTGGAGCGCACCAGACCCCTCAGTCCAGATCCTTTCCCAGCAGGGGTCTCTCAAATCCCTTCCCTGTCGACCCCTGCATGGACCTGGGCAGGTCAAGCGGTTTCATTGGCAGGGAGAGGGCCGGAATTCTGGGCCCTTCCAAACTAGCGCTAAAATATTTGTATGAGATTTAAACTTCCCTGGCCTGACTTAAGGGCAGGTAGGGGACTAAAAACTCCCAGAATGGCCAGAGACTGAGGTCCGTCTATAAAAGCCCAGGGCCGAGACCGCAGCTGGTGCGTCTCAGCAGAGCCTGTTGACTACAGTGTACTACGTCACGTCACCCCAGCTGAGCATCTGGGCCACGGTGTTCCTCTTTGGGAGTGAGGGTACTGGCAGACAGAGGTGGACCCGATCTAAAAGTCCCGCTTGGAGATTAGCATCAAAGTTCCCCTGCCTTTAGGAACAGGTGCTGCACAGGATGCGGGGGGCTTTGGTCCTGTGCCCACAGAACAGGCAGAGGGGTGGGCTAGCCAGCTCTTGTCATTGTAGGACGTGTCTTGCTCTTTGTGCCTAGGAAATGCAAAAGAAGGGAGCTCTTCAAGTGGCTCTTTAAACTGCCAGGGCAGCCACCTCTGCTGCATGTTTAGGAGGGAGCAGTGTGAGCCTCACGCTGCACAACCCCAGTGGCCACAGCAGCTGGCAGCACCAGCAGGTCCTGGGGGGAGGGGGGGTGTTAGGTCCATCCTGCGACATTCCCCAGAACGCACAGTCCCCTTGCAGCGGTCCAGGATGCTCCTTTCTGCACAAGGCTCACGTTCCCGTTGGTAAGAAGTGAGGTTTTGGGTGAGGCACAGTTATCCGGATGGGGGTCACATCTGGACCCTGGGGGGTTCCGCTGCTGTTATCACACTTGGATGACGTGAGCAATCTTTAAAAACAAACCAAAGGATGAAAGGCTATTCTCATGGGTTCTTCCTCTTTCTGCCTCTCCATTTCTCAAATGGGGCAACAGCTGCTACTGTGGGCTACAGAACTGGGTCTTCCTCCTTGGTTTCACACTCTTACGTTCTCTGCTTCTTAGTTAAAGTATTTGGGTGAAATCCTGACCCTACTGAAGTCAGCAGGAGTTCTACATAGGTTTTTATACCGCGCTTATCACGATAGTATCTGGGCGCCTGGCTTCACTGGGACCAGGGTGTCACCTTTCTCCTCCCCTGTTTCCTGGGCTGCATGTGCAGAAATGCAGCCTACGGCAAATTTGAAGTGGTTAGGGCAAAAATGGTTTATTCATGTTCATGGGGGAAAAATAACTTTTTAAAAATAAAAGAACATAAGAACGGCCATACTGGACCAGACGAAAGGTCCATCTAGCCCAGTGTCCTGTCTTCCGACAGTGGCCAGTGCCAGGTGCCCCAGAGGGAATGAACAGAACAGGTGATCATCAAGTGACCCATCCCCTGTCACCCATTCCCAGCTTCTGACAAACAGAGGTTAGGGACACCGTTCCTGCCCATCCTGGCTAATAGCCATTGATGGACCTATCCTCCATAAATGTATCTAGTTCTTTTTTTAACCCTGTTATGGTTTTGGCCTGCACAACATCCTCTGGCAAGGAGTTTCACAGGTTGACTGTGCATTGTGTGACGAAATACTTCCTTTTATTTGTTTTAAACCTCCTGCCTATTAATTTCATTTGGTGACCCCTAGTTCTTTTGTTATGAGAAGTGGTAAACAACACTTCCTTATCTACTTTCTCTACACCAGTCAATCATATCTCCCCTTAGCCATCTCTTTTCCAAGATGAAGAGTCCCAGTCTTATTAATCTCTCCTCATACGAAAGCTGCTCTGTTGCCCCTTTCTGAACCTTTTCCAATTCCAATTACATCTTTTTTTGAGATGCGGTTACCACATCTGCACACAGTATTCAAGGTGTGAGCATACCGTGGATTTATAGAGAGGCAACATGATATTTTCTGTTCTATTATCTATCCCTTTCTTAATTATTCCAAGCATTCTGTTCACTTTTTCGACTGCCGCTGCACATTGAGTGGATGTTTTCAGAGAACTATCCACAATGACTCCAAGATCTTTCTTGAGTGGTAACAACTAATTTAGACCCCATCATTTTATATGTATAGTTGGGATTATGCTTTCCAATGTGCTATGTTGCAATTATCAACCTTGAATTTAATCTGCCATTTTGTTGCCCAGTCACCCAGTTTTGAGAGATCCTTTTGTAGCTCTTTGCAGTTTGCCTGGGTTTTAACTATCTTTAGTAATTTTATATCATCTGCAAATTTTGCCATCTCACTATTTACCCCTTTTCCCAGATCATTTATGAACATGTTGAATAGGAATGGTCCCAGAACAGACCCCTGGGGGACACCACTGTTTACCTCTCTCCATTCTGAAAACTTACCATTTATACCTACCCTTTGTTTCCTATCTTTCAACCAGTTACCAATCCATGAGAGCACCTTCCCTCTTATCCCATGGCAGCTTACTTTGCGTAAGAGCCTTTGGTGAGGGACCTTGTCAAAGGCTTTCTGAAAATCTAAGTACACTATATCCACTGGATCCCCTTGGTCCACATGCTTGTTGACCCCCTCAAAGAATTCTAGTAGGTTGGTGAGACATGATTTCCTTTTGCAAAAACCATGTTGACTTCTTCCACCAACAAATTACGTTCATCTATTTGTCTGACAATTTTCTTCTTCACTGTGGTTTCAACCAGTTTGCCTGGTACTGAAGTCAGGATTACAGGCCTGTAATTGCCAGGATCACCTCTGGAGCCCTTTTTTAAAAATTGGCGTCACATTCCTGCTTCTGATGTACTTAAAAAAATGTTTGCTGTTACTTTTTGAGTCTTTGGCTAACTGTTCCTCAAATTCTTTTTTGGCCTTCCAAATTGTATTTTTACACTTCATTTGCCAGTGTTTATGCTCCTTTCTATTTTCCTCACTAGGGTTTAACTTCCACTTTTTTGCCTCTCACTGCTTCTTTTACTTTGTTGTTTAGCCCCGGTGGCTCTTTTTTGGTTCTCTTACTATGTTTTTTAATTTGGGGTATTTAAGTTGAGCCTTTATTATGGAGTCTTTAAAAAGTTTCCACGCAGCTTGCAGAGATTTCACTTTTGGCGCCGTACCCTTTAATTTCTGTTTGTTTAACCTCCTCATTTCTGTGTAGTTCCCCTTTCTGAAATTAAATGCTACCGTGTTGTGCCGCTGTGGTGGTTTTCCTGCCACAGGGATATTAAATTTAATTATATTATGGTCACTGTTACCAAGCGGTCCAGCTATATTCACCTCTTGGACCAGATCCTGTGCTCCACTTAGGACTAAATCAAGAATTGCCTCTCCTCTGGTGGGTTCCAGGACCAGCTGCTCCAAGAAGCCGTCATTTAAGGTGTCAAGAAACTTTATTTCTGCATCTCTTCCTGAGGTGACATGTACGCAGTCAATATGGGGATAATAGAAATTCCCCATTATTATTATTATTAAGTTTTTAATTTTAATAGCCTCTCTAATCTCCCTGAGCATTTCACAGAAACTGCAAAGTCTCCCCTTAAATTCTCTTCCTCGTGTGTGAAGGAGTGTTGATGATCAGGCATGGTTCATAGCTAGCTTAACAACACCTGGGAATTAGTATCTTTGTGTGGCGAATGAAATTAAATGAGCTTGAAAGAAATACAGGGTGGTGAAAGGACTTCCCTTTGTCCTGCTAACCTTCACCACCGCCTGGCCATTGTCCTGTTCTAGTGTACTCTATGTATCGTATGACTTTTAAAAAACTAACTTTGTGTTTGTGGATAATCTTAGCACTATACCCAGATGTACAGACACTCTTTTCCAATCTATGTATTATATAATTTTTTTTTAACATTAGCTTTAATAAAATCTTTAAATCTGTTTATTTTATCCGACTGCAGGTCTTAGCGAAACTGCAGTGTTCAGCTGTGAAGCTCACAATAGGAAAGGACTAACTGCATCGAATGAAGTGAAAATCAATATAAAAGGTAAGTGATGAACATGAAATCTGTCTCACTACTTCTGCCAAGGTCTCTGCCTAGTAGACTGTGTGTGGCTCCTACCTGAGCCCGCATGGCAGTGAGACCATGGAATGAGGTTATTGCTAAAGCTGGTCGGGAATTTTTGGACAACAAATTTTGTACTAGAAGATGCCGATTCATCAAAACCAAGACTGTATGCGGAAAGGGTCAGTTTCAATCTGTTTTGGAAAAACCTTGAAAAACAAAGTTTCAGAATCATCCAATGTCCCATTTTGACACTTTACAAAACAAAGTGTGGTTGTTCAGGTCAAAATGACACTATGTCTTAAAATTTAAAATTAGATTTTTCGTTTTAAAAAAAAACTCTGCAAACAAAAAAATGTCAGCATAGAAAGAATCCTTTAGAAATGATCTTAGTGTTTCACTTAACCCAATCTGATATTTTTGCATTTTTGGGTGGTGAACAGTTTCAAGTTTTCATCCCAATTCGGGGTGGGAAAATATTTTCAAAAATCTCAGAAAATTCTTGCCGGACAGGAGAACTGTTTCCTGCCCAGCTCTAGTTATTGCACTGGAAGCTATGCTCCAAAGCCTGGTCTCAGACCTCACCCAGGCCACGCAGAGATTCCTGCAGCTTGTATTGTTGGGGAGAGCAGATATTGCCCCTAGCCCAGAGGACAAGACGCACCAAACCCACAGATGCTCTAAGATTCTTGGAGAAGCCCCAGAGATCCTAAGGGACTGGAGAGTTGGATGGAGGCACAGCATTTCTGTGCTTTGGTCTGTCTCTCTCCCCTCCACAGCAGAGCAGGCTGCCTTCCGCTCCCTTGCTGGCCACTGCAACAACAAAACCCCCTGAGGAGTATGGCCACAAGGCGGATGCCAGTTCAGCCTGAGGGTCCCCTGCCAGGATTCTGCTAGCTGGAAAGCTGGGCGTCAGCAGGGCTGTGACTGAGGGAGGAAGCACCCGAGAGTTCGCGTGAAAGCAGAGCTGTCAAACTGAGGGGAGTTTCAGAAAGGCTGTGCCATTCCCTCCCTTCCTTCCTTCATGGTCCGAGCCAGCCTCAGTGTTTCCATGGGAAGTGCCGGGAATTCCAGGAATTCCCGAGCGGGAGTCGCCCGGCGGCCAAGGGCGTGTTTTCCCTGAGCCCACGCGCTCCCAGCCGAGGCAGAGCGCTGCTTTCAGCTCACGGGCGCAGAGTGGGTGCAGACAGCTCCAGGAAAGGTGAAGACGGTCTGTTGCGTTCTGGTTCTTGCGTTCTTGCGTTCTGTGTCCGGTGCTCCTGAACGAGTCCCCGCTCCCACCCCCAGCCTCTCTCGGTTTCTCTCGTCCCCGCCGGTGTGTTTAGAGTAGCCGCCCTGATCCGACCCACAAGGCTGTGAACAGCCACAGTCACTCCCTTAGGGCTTTGCCAGCAGCCTGGCTGAGCTCTTGGTGCTGCTGGCCACACACACACACGATCGGGCTCGGCTGCCTAGCCATGTACCTCGAAGAAGAGTGCCCGGGTGGCCTGTATTTTTAACAGTCTGCCCCATACATTAGGGCTGTAAAGGGGGCACCTGACTAACTCACCCATTTGGTGTTCGACTCCCTGTGCTCCTCCATCCCAGCAAGGGATGGTGCTGAAGGCTCTGGGAAGTCATTTCCCCCAGTCCCAGCACCTCAGGGTGCCACATCCAGGGCCCAGATGGCAGCAACACCCAGGCTGGGGGGAACAGGACTCAGCCAGCAGCAGCTGTCCCGGAGGCCAGGGAAGGGGAGAGTGCAGGGAGCAGGTATCCCGCATGGAGAGTCAGAGACCTCGTTTCTTCCTTTGGGTAACCTGGCCCCTCAAGGGACATTTAAAGAATGAGCAGGTGCTGGTCCCAGTCTGCTGCACAGGGGAGGCACCTGGAGACAGCAATAAACTGATGCTATGTATTGTTACATAAACATAATGGTGAGCCCTGAGCTTTGCCTCTGACCTGTCCTGTAGCATCTCCTGGGCAGCTGGGATGGGCTCAGGGAGGCAGTCCGCGGTCTAGCTGCACCCCCCTCCAAGCTCCCTCAGCAGGCAGCTTTCTCCTGGCCTTCACACACAGCACTGTGTCCCCCTTCTCTGCGAAAGCCTTCCCTTAACCCCTTTGGCACCCCTGCCCCCTCTCCCCTGCCCCGTCAGACCATCCTGTCACCCACTTCTGAGCGCCGGGCTCGTGAAACGAGACACAGTTCTGACTGTCACAGAGGGTACGTCTGCCCAGCGCACGGCAGCCAGACTCCTGACTTGGGCTCACAGGGCTGCGGCCACTGCTCTGCTGATAGCTGTCTGCCCGGGGTTCTGACTGGCGCTCGGCTCAACCCAGCTGGGTTCCTGCCGTTCAGAGTGGGCAGTGGCCAGGGGCAGGTGATCCTTGGCCAGGGAGAGCAGCTCTCTGGGGCGAAGGGACAGAGCGTGGCGTGTGAAATCAGTGCCGCCCATTGGAGACTCTCGTGCTGAGCACACGCTGCTCCTCACGGCCCGGCGGGGTCCGAGCGCACCCGAGCTCACGACCGTGCTGCGGAGAGGAGCGTGGCCCTAGGACTAGTCTGCATGGGACGGCCACGCACAGCACGGGGTGGTTTCTAACGCACGCTCACCTGCAGCACAGCAGTTACTCCGTGGAGAGGCTGCTGGTGCACGCTGGAAGTTCCCGATCTGCAGGTTCGAATGGCACGAGCCTTCCAGGCAAGCTCCCAGCCCCGGGGGGCAGCCCCTGGGATCCCCACGTGCCATTGCTCCCCACCTCTCTATGTCAGGCCACTGCTTGAATATGCCTTCCACGGTGGTGCTGCTTCCCCTGACCCCAGACAGCAGCCCTGGGACGGACCAGCTTATTTCTCTTGGGGAGGCTTCGCCCCCTCCACAGCACTGAGTTCAGCGTTCAGGTGTTTCTCCTCCAGAGCTTGCACATGCGTGTTTTTGCACCGCAGCCGGCTGGCAGCCTGCATTGTGTTCACACGCATTAGTGCTGACCGGGCCTGGCTTTCTCATGTAGGAACTCCAGCCGCACCGACTGACGTGCATGTCCTGAATAGAACAGCGCACAGCCTGGTGGTGTCCTGGGTGCCAGGCTTCGACGGCTATTCGCCTCTGCACGGCTGCCGCCTCCAGGTAAGCCTTGGCGTTGTGGTTCGAGCCGCTTGTGTTTGCTGCGGCATGGTGCTTGCAGGGAGGCTGCAGGCAGCTAGTCAGCCATGCTGGGCCTGTCTCTCCTCGCGCATGCACCAGCAGAAGCTGGGGGAGCCCCATTGACGCTCGGGTAAATCACTTGGTCCACGCTGGTGGAAGAGAGAGGATATTCGGGCCGTCTCTGTATTCGAGAAATAAGAACACAGGCTGCTGTTCCCTCTGCGGGTGGGGAGGCCCTGCCGGACTAGCCAAAAGATATGGGTTGTGTCTGTGCGGAGCAGCTGGCGGGCCGTGTGCTTTCAGCACGTTGCTGGTCTCTTGCTGGGCTGGTGGTCTGGGGTCTCAGAAGGGTCAAGACCCTCATGGGGTTAGGGTGTCAAAGCCATGAGGTCCCTTCTGGCCAGACATCTGCAGGCTGGCAACAGGCAGTGCCAGCTTCCCTGTGGGCGCTGGGGTTGGGGGCATCTCGGATTTGAATCCTGGAGGAAGTAGAAGAAACCGCTTTTAAGATGCCTTCAGGGTGCTTGATTAGCTCTCCCCTGGTCCCAGCACCCAGCTCAGTTGTTTGGCTGGGACGCTGGGCAGAGGAAGGGTGTTGGCACCAGTAACCACTTTCACAGCGCCCCCAGGGAGACTCAAAGATACAGGACACCTCTCCGCGCTCAGCATTCTGCTGGCCATCAGAAGGAAGTTGGCTTCCTGATAAATGATTGAGCAAGTGCAGATATTCGTTTCTTTATCGGCGCTTTGGGGCCAGTCCTGCAGGCAGCTCTCCCGTAGCTCTAACCTGGGAAGGCAGGGGGTGCTCCAAGGCCCAGGGCCTTTTTCTGCTCTTCGGTGATTTCGTGACTGTTTATAACGGGTTCGTTTTTACCGTAATCGGCATAATAGCTAGTTTTACTGAATACGGACCGGCTGAGGGTAACTAAACACCACTCTGTGCCATGGCTCATTCAGAACAGCAGTACTTTCCAGCCCCGTCGTTATTAACCTGTTATTTAGTCTGCAGAAGAGAAGAACGAGGGGGGATTTGATAGCTGCTCTCAACAACTTGAAAGGGGGTTCCAAAGAGGATGGCTCTAGACTGTTCTCAGTGGTAGCAGATGACAGAACAAGGAGCAATGGTCTCAAGTTGCAGTGGGGGAGGTTTAGATTGGATATTAGGAAAAACTTTTTCACTAGGAGGGTGGTGAAACACTGGAATGCGTTACCTAGGGAGGTGGTAGAATCTCCTTCCTTAGAGGTTTTTAAGGTCAGGCTTGACAAAGCCCTGGCTGGGATGATTTAACTGGGAATTGGTCCTGCTTCGAGCAGGGGGTTGGACTAGATGACCTTCTGGGGTCCCTTCCAACCCTGATATTCTATGATTCTATGAACCCTTTCAGTCGGGTGCGTACATCTTAGGGCGCTCCTTTCAAAGGTTGCATCTGGTTTCAGGGAAAATGTCCTTTGGCTTAAAAGTTTTGTGGTGGCAGAAATCTGCATCTTAAAAGTCGCCCGGCACAGCTGAGGGAGTACGCTAGGGTCTGGATGGCAGCAGGAGGAATGCCTGGGGCCTGGATGGAATCCGAGAGGGGTCAGGCCACATCTTTAGCGTTCCATGGCACCCCCATGAGTCATGGCTCTGATAGCACCTGGCCTGTGAATGAAGTAAAATCTTGGACAATTTACATAATAAAAATAGTGAGTGAGACCCGGCTTCCTTCCGTTTGCCCTCAGTCACATCCACTGTGTCTGCATCTGAATGACTCCTCCTCTGACACTTCCATAACCCTCGATGGATTGCGTCCGCAGAGACCTTTCACTTTCACCATCCCTCATCCAATCTAATGTGAGCGTGGCCTTTAACGTTCCATTCTTACTCAAGCTCAGGAAGTAGGGTGGAGGGACAAAGAATTTCCTGTGACTTAATGTACATGACCCGTCACTAGGAAATAGCCTTTTAAATCCGAAAACACGATGTGATTCCTGGCAAGAACAACTGCAGTGACTCAGCCAGCAGTTCAGCCTGGCTCCGGTGATGCCGCCTTGCCAAAGGTAGTTAGTTTTGACCCTGTAAGTGATGATAGCGAGTGCTCTCCTGGCCCCAGCTAGCAGGAACCGAGCCCTGTGTTCCAGTTCTGAATGATCCGTGTCTGACTGCCCCTCTCTGGAAAGGTTTCAGAGTAACAGCCGTGTTAGTCTGTATTCGCAAAAAGAAAAGGAGGACTTGTGGCACCTTAGAGACTAACCAATTTATTTGAGCATGAGCTTTCGTAAGCTACAGCTCACTGTAGCTCACGAAAGCTTATGCTCAAATAAATTGGTTAGTCTCTAAGGTGCCACAAGTCCTCCTTTCCTCTCTGGAAAGAATCTACAAGGCTCAGAGGGATTTAGAATGCGTAATTGTGACCAATCCACCTGCATTTTAGGAATCCATTTGCATGTCCGGTCGCTGATCGTACGTTCTAGATATACGTATCTCAGCCTTATTCGGAGTAACATTGCTAAGGTTTTGCTTAGGATTTTGTGAACCAAATTCTACCCCTAGGCATGCACAGCCACCTCCTGCTGAGGTCAGGAGGTGTTAGGGACTTGTATCAAAGGCAGCACTGGGCCCTCTGTATTTAGCACGTGTTCACCGCTCAACAAGACGATGTAAATCACATCCCTCAACCCCCTTTTAGCGATCAGTCCCTGGAAAGGGCCGTGCATCACCTTGACCAGTACTGATGGGGGGCCCCCAGTGAAGCGTCTGCAGGAAGCTAATCATAGAATATCAGTGTTGGAAGGGACCTTAGGAGGTCATCTAGTCCAACCCCCTTGCTCAAAGCAGGACCAATCCCCAATTTTTACTATCCCTCCCCCCATGGTAACATCGCTGCAGGGAGAGCACTCTGAGGGAAGATGCTGTGGGATGCAGGGTTTCCCCCAGAATATTCAGAGAATTGGGTGTCTGTCAGTGTCTGGATGCAGGGTGTCTCAGGGGATGTTCTTTCCTCCCCCCGCCATCTACTTAAAAAAGATCTGACTTGTGGTCATGCAGGTGCTTTTCAAAGATGATGTTTCTCTCTGTCACCTCCTCCCTTGACTCTTACTGTGATCTAACAGTAACGGGGCTGACTTCCGGAGGTGCTGATTGGACAAAGCCAGCAAGGGCTGAGGACATGCAGCACCCCTGGGAATCAGGCCCATCACAGCCGGTGTTTTCTTTTGCCCCTTTGACTCTTCATAGCACATTTGACCGCGTAGGGCTGAGACAAGGGGATACAGCAGCTGGAAACATACTACGATATTATGACAATACATGAGCCAGTATCAGCGGCAGATGGTTTTGGTCACTGTTCTAAACATTCTTGCCAAAGCCTCTAGCAGCATCTGATGATCTTCTGACCCTGCATTTCTGTCTGGTTTGGGAGTCCGACATGAACTGTCCTCATCTCTGCTTATGAATGTTGCCCCCTGACCACATAGTGAGCCAGTGTCAATGCTGACTCCGAGGCCCTTGTCTCCTGGTCCTGTGCACTAAGCACTAGACATGGTGACCTTCTCTTTGTTGAATGCAGACCGGTGCTACTGGCTGTCCTGCAACAACCTATGTGGAGCACAAGGCCTCAAACTCAAGCTGAGTTGGGAACTTCCTATGCAGGTTCACTCTAAAATAGAGTGGGGAAGAGAAGAAATTGCATGCTTGCCTGAAGCTAGGAAATAGTCTCCTGGGGGAGCCATTCAAGACGAGGTCGTTCTAGTGATGATAGAACTCCAGTACTGTTGGCAAGGTTGGTGGATAGCTTGAGTTTTCTGCTGGTTAATTGCTGGTTAGATTACTTCTTCTGGTTCCTCTCATTCTTACACCCTTCAGAGGTCCTCCCACAACTCCAGCCCGTGCTGCATACGGGGTGAGAGTTTTGTTCTGTACTAGGATCTCGCTCTGCTGAATGTGTAAAGGAGGAAAGGTGGAGCGCGCATGGAGGGCTGCATAACATCCATCCCTCTTCCAAGTGTGGTTGACTGCGTTGCTGGCTTTCCATACAGCAGCGCCAGGCCCGGGGGTGGTTTTGGTGAAATCCATGCCCACGCTTTCAGACCGGACGTGTCTAAACTCTTCTTCCGTTTAAAAAGCTGCAGTCCCGGGCATGGGAATTCTGAAGCAAAGCGTGATGCATAGTGTGCTGAAGTGCTGGTTTTTAATCTCGGGGCACTAACTAGAAGATTTGGGGTACTCTGTGTGTGCAGTCTGCTCTGTATGTCAAAATTCTGGAAGACTTTTCACATTTTTAACCCTGATACTTTTCACTGGGCGGTTTCCCATCTCGTAAAAGGCAGAGCATTTTAATTCAGCTAAGGGGATAACTCACTAGCAGATTCCAGAGTGTTAATTGGCTTCATGCTTTGTTCTTCTTCAGCAGCAGCAGCATGGGGCAGCTGTTAGGAGTGCACAGTGAGAGGTGACATTTCATACGGTGTGAGGTTTGGGTTTGTTGCAAGAGTCCATCATAGACCTCACGAAGGAGCGTTCAGCCGGAGGCGGGACCCTGAAAGTCCAAGTCAGAATAGAGCTGAGTCAGATCCTTGTAGGGTCAAGATAAGATCCTGATCTTTCTGTGACTCCCATCTAATCTCACTGCATCTAGTTCTTGTTATGACTGGCTGCTTCGTCCCTTGTCATGCCTTTCACCTGACAATGTATTTTGGTTCTGAGTAATTCAGTGCAAGGAAAAAGACGTGTTAACTACATTGACCTGCCACCTTCCATGGTCTTTTTCCCTCATAATGCTGCAGAATCCTCCTTGTTTAGGGTCTGTGCAGTTTTGGGAGGTTTGTCAGTAACAAAGAAGTTTCTCGGAATAGAGCCTTGCTGAGCTTTTAGAGTGGGAATTCAGGACCAGGAGCGACGGCTTCCAAGTCCTTGCGTCTGCGTTACGCTTTGTGTTTATTCCTCCGTTGACATCAGGGCGCACGCAGCAGAGCAGCTGGGCATTTTACCATAGATATTTTGTGTCCTTCTCTAAAATGAGAACACGGGCAACCCCATGCTCTGGGAGTCCCTCGCCACTGTCTGCCAGAAGCTGGGAATGGGTGACGGGATGGATCACTTGATGATGACCTGTTCTGTTCATTCCCTCTGGGTCACCAGGCATTGGCCGCTGTCGGAAGACAGGACACTGGGCTGGATGGACCATTGGTCTGACCCAGCGTGGCCATTCTTATGGTAGGCTGTGTTTATTAGAAGTTTTAGCCTTGCTGCCTACCATGAAACTTTCCCCACAGTCTTCTCCCCGTAAGAGTTAAGAGAGTGTGGAGGGAAGAGCAGAGGAAGGACAGAATTCTGGATCCTGTTTACAGACTTCAAATTCCTAACGTGCCTCTGGCGTGGCAGATTCTTACTGACTCATCCGTGTCCCTGTTTGATTTCCGATGAAGGTCAGGGAAGCAGCTCCACTGAGCAACGGCTCATTTCTGATCTGGAACACCTCCGTGCCGCCTCACCTGTACCGAGTCCAGCAGCTGCAGCCCATGACAGAGTATAGCATCCGTGTTTCCTGCGGGAATGAAGTCGGCTGGTCTTCGTTCAGCCCCTGGATTCTGGCCAGCACAACTGAGGGAGGTAGGACGAGACGGTCCTTCGGGGGCTGTCTGTGCTTTGGGGGCTCTCTGCTGCACTCTGGTGAGGGGTTCAGTTTGCCGAGAGGGCACTGACCGCTCCATGCCGAGGCCCAAGGGATGGGTCACCAGGAGCTCCTTCACCAGCACTGCGTGGTCGCTGGCAGTGGGAAGTGCAGGCCGGCGGGTGCATGGGCCAGCTGGCCCTCACTGCCGTATTTCCTCCGCTCTGGGGGAGGCGGCTCCCCCGTCGCTTCCATTGCCCTCAGCGTCCAGCCGGGCCTGGGGCGGCTGGGGGGAGCTGGGGGCCATGGTTGGGAGGAGTATTTGGGCTCCATTCGGTGCAGTGACTTGCATGCTCCCACGCTGGTCTGTTAGCGTGTGACACCCCCCCCCCCCAACCCCCGCGCTCCGCTCCCTGACTGCAGCAGGCACAGGGCTGGGGGAATCAGCCCTAGGCCAGCTGGGCTCGGGCTCTCTCCTGATCCATGGGAATCCTGTGCCCCCGACAGTGCAGATCCTGGCTCTTTGGGGCTGTGAAAGCCCAGCCGGCAGGGCAGTAAGGCACCCTCGGCGCTTGCTGTCAGGCCTGAGGGAGGGACCCAGGTGCATGAGCTGAGGGTGAGGAAAGAGGCTCCTCACACACTCTGCCCTCCCGCACCGTGCGGCTGGCTCTGGCCCTTTCCATGCCACGCACAGCCCCCTCGGGCTGGGACCATGCTGGGCCAGCAGCGCCCGCTGCGTAGGAGAGGAGCGTCTCGATTCACGCTGCGGGGCCCTTTGTAGGGAGACACGGCCTGGGAGTTCGCCCCCTCCCACGTCCATGTCTTGTCTGCAGGAAATCCCAGCTAAAGCAGCCGCTGGTGTCAGCTGGTGGCTGGCATTCTGGGTCATGGGTCGCCTGGGGGTTATGAAATACGGCTGCTCCCTGCTCTTGGGGTGGGGAAGTGCGGGGTGGGGGAAGCGAGCCAGGGTTCCCCCGAAAGAGGAGAGTGTGCAGCTTCAAGATGAGGGGTTTTTCCTATTCAGTCGCTCCCCTGCCCATCCCCACAGCCTTCTGGCACGTGCGCGCGGCAGCTATTGCAGTGCCGAAAACAGCAGCTAGACGTGTGAGACTCGGGGCCTGGAAAGCCACCCACTCCCTATGGCTCTCCTGCCACGGGGTGCGCTCAGGGAATCTGAACAATATGGCCGGTTGGACAGAGTGACTTAGAGAGGGGGTTATTTAAAGAACTAGCCTTGATCCTTCCATGAGCTCCGCGTGAGTGCCAAAGTCCCTGCAGGATCAGGGCCTCCATCTGTGAGACACAGAAGGTCCCACGTTCAGCTCCGTGACCCAGAAGCCCTACCACATCCACATGGGTTGCTGATGGGCATGTTTGCCTGGTTGTCTTAGCTCTGTATGTGATTCTGTTTGTGTCTTGTAGCCCCATCTACTCCACCTCTGAATGTCACAGTGTTCTTCAACGAGTCCAGCTCCTCCCTGGAAGTCAGATGGGTAAAGCCCCACCTTGGGCGAAAGCATGGAGAACTGCAGGGCTACAGGCTACTGCACACCTGGCAGAACTCAGAGATAACGGTGAGTATGAAAAGAAATATAAGAACTAAACGTAACGTGATGGCCACAAAAATCTCGACAATGGCCAGGCAGCTGCGACGCTGTCTTTCTTGCTGATAGGTGTCCTCTCAATGATCCCTGATGGTCCCCCATCTGTCTGTAGCTACCAACGCTGTCTATAGCCATACACAGCGTTTATAAACTCTTTGGGGCAGAGACTGGCTCCGTGGTGTGTGTGTACAGTGCTGCCCTGGCTTACCAAATACAGTTCATAACGAAGAATATTAGCCAGTGCTGTTGTGCCACTTCTTGTCTTAAAGGGGAGCTGCAAAGCAAGAAAAAGTGTGTGTTCATTATCGCTTCTTTATGGGGTTTCTTTAAAAAAACAAATAAGATGTTGTTTGCATGTGACGTGTTAGTATTTTGAGGGGCTCTTCCCTGTGCTGGAGGGTTTAAGATCTCTGGAGCAGGAATTTGGATTCGGTAGCTTTTACAGATGGAAATGGCGAGGAGGTACATGGCCGGGGAGAATCTGGCTCTTGGGTTCCAAGCTGGATCTCGTTTGCGTGGGATTTATCCCAGTGTTGCCGGCACCCAGTGCCGAGAGGCTGAACAACAGCTTGAATGGTTCGTTACCTGGTGTGCTACACCCAATAATTACAACGGGGTGGAGAAGCAGAAAAGTTTATTTGAAGCTTCAAATAGGTACAGGGAGATTTGAATTTCAAATCCTGTACCCAGAGCAGGAAGTCACACAGGCTTTTATATATATATATTTTAGCATATTTATTTAATAGCAAGCTGCTCTAAGTATTTATATAGTCAGCCAATTTAGTTTTCATCTAGTTTTTTGTTTTTTTTGTATTATTTGTTAAACTATATATAAAGCTGCTTTATTTAGCCATACCCAGAAATGCCCTGAGCCGCTTACGGTTACTTGGGGTAGGAACTTGACAGATAGCTTCCTTTTTTTTGCTTGAAAGCTGACGCTCTCCTTGCCATATGTGAAACCCGAGGTACCGTACCTCTGGGAGGGCAATTTGAGCCTTACTCCATGCTACCTGATATCCCCGGAGTCCAATAAAATTCAGGAGGCTCACGGTGGCTTTAAGGCAGGGTGTTTGGCCCACAGTGGCAAATAACAAATAACAAAATTATTTACATACTGCAGGAGGGCCTCCTCATTATCCCACTCCTCTAGGTCCCTGGCCAGAGCCTGGCCAAAGAGAATGGGGGAGTTTTTAAATCCCTGGGCCAACATTGTCCAGCAAAGTTGCTTTTTAACCCTTTTTTGGTCCTCCCACTCGAAGGAGAAGATCTCCTGTGACGGGATGGCAACTGGGATGGTAAAGCATCTTTCAGATCAAGGACTGAAAAATGGGTATACTGTCCCCCTATAGAAGCCAAAAAGGTATACGGGTTAGGGACAAGAGGGTGCAGAGTCTTAACCCGTTCATTGACTGCCTTTAGGTCCTGTACTAGCCGATACGTGCCATTAGGCTTCTGTATGGGTAGAATGGGAGTGTTCCAGGCTGACTGACATTCCCGGAGAATACCATACATTAGGAATCAATTTATAGTTTCCTGTAACCTTTTTTGGCTTTCCTTTTGATTTGGATACTGTTTTACTTGCACTGGGCCTTTCCCTGGTATGAGCTGAATAGTAATGGGGGTCTGGTGGGTGGCCTTTCCTGGAATCCCTGATGCCCACACGAGGGGGTACACCTGGTCTTCCCACGGGCTCCATTCTGGGGCTTGCATGGCTGAGCGCTTAACTGCAAGGGTCATGATCCATGCATTTTCAGGGGGTAAGGTAAGGGTTATTTTGTCCTCAGTAAAATGCAGGGTGGCACCGAGGCGACAAAGCAGATCCCGTCCCAGCAGAGATGTTGGACACTCAGGGAGGTATACCAGCTTGTGGGATATAGTCCTGTTTCCCAAAGCGCATTCCGCTGGGCCATATACTGGGCACTTGGTGTCCCTGCCTGTGGCTCCCGCCACAGTGAGGGAATCTGCTACTGGCAACTGAAGAGGCTGATTTACAGCAGTTCAGGCCGCTCCAGATTCCACTAAAAAATCTATTTCTGAGCTTCCCACCCGCATCTTTACTCGGGGTTCCGGGGGTAGAGTGGTCCGTCTCCCCTGACACCCCTATTCCTGCTCCGCCATTGCCATCATAGGGGAACCCCCCTTTCCTTTCCTCTTTGGGCACTCATTTTTCCAGTGTCCCTCCTGTCGACACAGGGCACACTGGTTGCGACCCAGTCGTCTCTCCTGCGGGCCCGGACGGTCGCGTCCACGGCCCCTTCCTCCCCCACCACTTCTCTTAGTGCCGGCCTGTACCGCTGTTACCATCAATCTCACTTGCTTTTTTTTTTTTCTCTGTCTCTCTCAGACTATAAGCTCGGTTTGCAGTCTTTAAAATTTGTGCCATGGTCATGCCCATTAAATCCTCCTTTTTTTGGAACTTTCTCTTAATATCAGGGGCTGCTCTGCTTGTAAAAATTTTCTTAATAATTGACTTAGTTGCCTGATTATCGGGGTCTGCATTAGTGTTCTGTAGAATGGTGTCCCGAATACGCTGTAGAAAGGCCCCTGGGCTTTCTTTTAAATCCTGCATTACTTCATATGGCTTTGCCCAATTATTATGTCGGACAGCCGAGTGACGGAGTCCATGCAAAAGCAACTCCTTATAGGAGGTAAGGTGGGTCATATCCCTTTGATCATTTGGATCCAGCTGGGGTCTGCTCGGGGGACTTACAAGGTGTGGGTGTAGGGGCCGAAGGGGACACCGGCTCTGCCATTACAGTCCGGGTGGGGTCTGGGGACTAACATTAGCTGCTACCGAACCAGTCGGAGTCAGATTACAGTGCTGTAAAATATCTGGTCGAGTACATAAAGTCAGAAACAAATGTGCATACATATGTTCATTCCATTTACCCATTCACTGACAAAACAAAACTAATTGGAGGATCGTGTTGTAATTAATTGACTCTCCTGGTGGCCACCACTCCTGGTCCTCTAGTTGATATTGAGGCCAGTCAACTGTACAGAATCGTTTTAATTGGCTCTTAGTCATCGGATCCGCACCAAATACCTTCCAGTTTGCTAGAATGCACTCTAGGGGCGTACACCATGCCCTGAGCTCTGTCCCTGTCCCATACCTACAGGGTAACTCTGGGCGTCCCCAGGTTCCAACAGAGCATACAATCCGGATTTTAAAAGGTTCCTACCTTATCCAAGGGACCGGTTCTTCACCGTGGCCTGCAGCTGCTCCTCCCCCATGTCTAAGGGACCGGTTGTTCACCGCTGTCCACAACTGCTTCTCCACTATATGAGTGCGTTGCACCATTTTGCCCTCCGGGGTTGATCAAATCGCGTCTCCTCCGAGGCCTCGATGAACTCACCGGTGCGCACTGGGCGTCGGTTCTCGCCGCAATCTTCGACCTCCAGGAAGGGTCTGGGCAAGGCTAAATTGCAGCCTCGTCGCTCACCCAGGGACGCCAAAAGCTGTTGCTGGCACCCAGTGCCAAGAGGCTAAACAACAGCTGAAGTTGGTTCGTTACCCGGTGTGCTACACCCAATAATCACAACGGGGTGGAGAAGCAGAAAAGTTTATTTGAAGCTTCAAATAGGTACAGGGAGATTTGAATCTCAAATCCTGTACCCAGAGCAGGAAGTCACACAGGCTTTTATATATATATATATTTAGCATATTTATTTAATAGCAAGCTGCCCCAAGTATCCATATAGCCAGCCAATCCAGTTCCCAGCTAGTTCCCTGGTTCTCTGTATTATTGCTTAAATTATACATAAAGCTGCTTTATTCAGCATTGTTTTTTTATATTTGCCCTGTTTGGCCTTCCTTAGTTTCAGGCAGTCTGACTCTGCAGCATATTTTTGCAGATCCTTAGCATAACTGCTGTGTGTGCCTCCAGGCGGGGGGCCAAGGACACTTGGGCCTAGTACACAGAGCTGCTGCGAGTGCCTCCAGGCGGGAGTGGGGGCCAAGGACACCTGGGCCTAGTGCGAGGGGGCTTCATCGACACTCGTGGTCTTCCATCCCCTCGAGTTACCTAGTGGCCATGCCCCAGGGTCCCCAACACCAGTGTGACTCCGTGGATCTCTCCCGAGTGTATGCAGGAGGGGAGTCTCTTCGTTTGCAGGGCAGAATGAAGGGAGCATTTGGGATCTTGGGTAGAAGAACTTGGCAAAATAATGCAGTGAAACTTTTTTTTGTTGGAAAATTTCCTTTCGTCCTAACAGAAACGTTTGGCGGAAACGTGCCGATTTTGACACCGTTTCCCTAGGGACAGTTTCTCAGGTCCAGGCTGGAATTTCAGAGGATAAGTGAGGGACCCAGCAGACAGAAGAGCCTGGTGGTGAGGACACTCTGCAAGCATGTGGGAGATCAGGGTTGAAGTCCCTGCTCCAAATCTCTCTCAGATTTTCATGAAAGATTTCCAAAGGTCTCAGTCTTGCTCCATAGCCGAACGGAAACAAATTCCGAAGTCTCACCATTTTTTGTGGAACAGAATTATTTTCCGGCCAGCCCTAATCCTGAGCTTAAAATTCTGACTTTTTTGTTGTTGTTTTTGCTTGTTTTCTCTGGGCTACAGCAATGCCAGTTACAAAAGCCTTCAAGACCCAGAGCTACTAGCCTCTTCTTCAAGCCAGACTAGCCTGAGCTGTCCGGCTGCTCCTGGGTCACCGCTGATGATGGGCAGAACAACACGTGACCTTGGAGCCATTGCACTGTGGGAAATCCCTGCACGGGAATGAAGGGAGTTGCATAACAAATGTGAAGCAAATGGAGCCATTATAGACCAGACAAAAGGAAGCCGGCAAGCCGGACACATGTTCCCGTCCAGATGTTGCCTGCTTACTTGCATACTTTGCTGGGCTGTTTCTTGCCCTCTGAATAATCCAAAGTTTAGAACACAAAGAGGCGCTGAATGCGTACATTTTTGAAATCTGCATGGAAATGATTCACACTCTTTTTGTAAGACACTGCGATTTCTGTTCCCCTTTAATCCTTGCACAGACATCTATATGGCCCACGCACAATGAAATTGGGAAAACAATATTATGATCTTGTGACTAACACTGGAAAAAGATGCTGACACGTTTATCTTCTCACAAGCCCGGGGAGAAGGGACTTTTTTTATTATTCTTTTTTTTGTGAATTTCCAACATAAGACTTTTAAGCAATAAAAAAGGTGTTCTGCTTAAGGATAACTACACACCATAGCTGCTTACTGTTCCTAAGTGATCTGTATTCAGTGTGGAAAACCTGATGGGCTGAAGGAAGATATAAAACCTCTGCTAGTGGGTGAGTGGCTCCTGACTGTAGGAGATCTTGGCGAGGTGCATAAGAATGGGACTTTGCCGGACAGGGCAAAAGCTCTTTGCAGAATTGGGACTGAAGACTATTTTTGTGATTTATGGTTGATTTGTTCCATCTACTTACAGCATTCATTGCAGGGCAAAACATCATGTTGCTGACTGTCATGTAATGCCACAGGGTTAGAATGCAGGCAGCCCAGAACACACATTTCCTACATACACATCCCTACAAATATCCAAATGTTGGTATTCACAAGCCGGCTTCCAGGGCACGCACACATCAGATCAAAACCCAACCGAGCCTTGTAATCACAGAGAGTGGCGACCTGTCCCAAGCTGTCCTAGCAATCCTTGCTTTGGCCAACATTTCTCAGGCGAGAGTGGAATCATGGGGAGGGCGTTCTCAATATGCAGAGGACACCCCGTTTTACCTCTGTCTTGTCCACCCTGAACAATGGGGTCAGGTGCCTTCTCTTGCTGGCCGGAACTGGGGCATGTGTTGCGGGTCCTCGCATCCCTTGCAAATCAAGCCACCAAGGTAGATGTCTAAAAGTGGATGTAGGATCCCAACTCCATTCAGGACCTGTTCTGGAAAATCTTGACCATAGGGTTATCCAAATGAAGTCTCAGTCAGTCTGGACACTTCCCTCCAGGCTCTGGATCAGGGACTTCAATGCACCAAGAGGGTAGGGTCAGATGAGATGGAAATAGCGGCCCCGATTCAGCAAGGTACATAAGCATGTGTCTGGCTCACTTCAAGCATGTGAGTAGCCCATTGAAGCCAGTGGGATTCATTGTGTGCTTAAAGTTAGGTACGTGCTGAAGCACTGTGCTGTCCTGGGGCTGTGGAGCAGAGAGATACTAAATCACATATGCAGATACCTGAGCTCGCACATGCTGTTGGCTGAGGGAACGGCTACCTGCCTGCCGGCTGGCCCACAGAGCCCTGTTTGTTTACAGCTTTTACTGTGACATGGCAGCTCTGAGCTGAGGTTTTCTTGGTTATTAAATCCAGAGGATCAGAGCCAGACGAGCTGCCTTTCTCCCCCCCTCCCCCAATGCTGGGGCTGGGTGCAGCCTGGGGGCTGCTCTAAGTTATGCCGGTAGTCATGGAGCCCTACGGATCTCTCCAGCAGCCAAGTTATGCTGAAACCTCTCCCCTCACCAACACTCCTCCAAAAATGCAAGGGCAGGAAAGGGATCTTGCAGAGGTGGCTCTGCCCATTTTATGCCACTTGGCAACTTCCCTATGCCAGGGGATTCTCCGCCGTCCTGTTAAGTCAGCCTGAAGGGGACCAGAGGATCTGACCCAGTGGGTGTCTCACATGAGCTGAGAAGGCTTCACTTGGTGCATGTGTTGTACACGCCCAGCTGAATATCCCTCCAGGCTGAGTCCTCACATGGCGCAGCACAGCTACACGAGCGATTAAAGAATTTAGACGTCCTTTGCATTGACTGATACTCAGCCACACAAACACCGCCTTGCAGACATCCCTTTGCCCCAGGGCGCCAGGAAGCAAAGCAGGAGAAAGCCGGGTATGTTGCAAAAGAGCAGGAAAGTATCCCTCTATTCATGTGCATAACTGGAGGCCAAACCTTCTTCAGTGATGTGCCACAGGACAGAGCTATTTTAGCAGCACCTACATCCATGAGGCCTGTAAGTGTGTGTGTGTTAATAAAGCAGTTTCGTTTCCATTCTGGGGGTTCTTTTGTCTAATTGCAAATCAGATTTGGTTCCTGCTGACCTCGCACTTCACCTAGTTTCCTGTTGTTGCTGTATCACGGCCACGCTGTGTCTGAAAACGGTCCGCAGATGTTGTAGTCAGCATTTCAGTCTGCCAGCTGTATGATCTGTCACAGAACGGTTGTTTTTCAGTAACAGGCTGTCATGGAGCAATGCCAGTCACTTTCTCAGCTGTCCAGCTGGCTCACAAGAAATGCAGGAAATAACCATGAGTTTGTGGGAAAGGGAATCACTTGTACAGTTGATCAAGAAAAACATCTGTGATAACACTGAAAGAAATCTAACGTGGTGATGGGGCCATGAAAGGAAACACAGGGTAAAACTAGAAATGTCATTAGCATGACATGAAGCCACATTGGTAGGAAACAATCGGCTACAAAGTCTGCCTTCCCCTGCTTCATTATGGTTGCACTTTGTGCATGGAAAAATGAGAGAGGCCAAATTCTCGGTGGGTGTAGATGGTCCCCGTTTCACTACCTCGGTAGAGTTTTGCTAATTTACCCGGGCGGGGAAATTGGCTGGAGTACTCTGGCAGCGACAATGAGCCCTAAAACGAGAAGGAACAGAAGCAAGGTATCCGTGAGAGGGGAGAGAAAGCAGGCCGTGTGTGTGGCAGGCTGTATCTGAGCAGGGCAGCAGGGAGAGAGACGCCTCTCGGTCGAAAGGAGCGATACGCAGAAAACAAATCCCAACAGATAAGGTGCTTCACTGCGTATTGGCATGAGGCGATGTGCCTGGGTTCCTCTAAGAAGCCCCTTCCTGACTGAGAGCTTCATGTCTGGAGTTCAGCTAGGGTGCTATGGAGGGGCCAACCTGCCCTGTGGGGAAAGCCTATTCCTCTTTGCTGGAGAGAGGAGCAGCCTAGTGAGGAAGACCAGCCCCACGCAGCACGCTCCCAGAGAGCCTGTCCCTCCCCCAGCAAGGTCAGTTTGTGGTAACATGGTCACAGGTGGGGCCAATAGGAGCCTTTGCAGCCAAACTGGTCGCCCTGCCGGGGCCAAAGTGCAGGACGCCATGTGTGACAAACCTGGTGCGAGGTGCCCAAAAAATGGTTCATGCAGAAAACTTAGACTGCTGCTGGGTTCTTCCTCCCCCCCCACCCCCCCCACGGTTTGGGCTAGGAGCAAAGGTGCAATAAGCTCTTTGAACTAGCAGGCCGGTGACCAGCGTGTGGCCAGATGCAGGTCCTGGCACGTGCAGAACGCTGGGCAGGTGGCTTTGGGCGGGGTGGAATTTGCCTTCGCCCTTTCAGCATGGAGTAAAGTCTACGCTAGACTTTTCAGTCCTGGCAGCTAATACCATTAAACCCTCATCTAGACAAGGCCTCACTGTGACCAGCTCCATATGTAATTTCTGCTCGGTGAGTCTGTTTCTTGGTTGTAGGTAACTTCAACAATACAAGTAAGGGGCTACAAATATGTGTAGGAGGTAGACTCCTTTGGCTGGGCAGAGAGTGTAGTGGGGAGCTGGGGGAGTGTTGGAGTCACTTCTGCAAGCCCCGGGGCCCCAGTAGGGGCAGATGATAGCCTGAGGACAAGAAATAGAGACCCATGAACTATATCCCTCTCCCCACCGGCCCCGTTGCATGGCTCCCTACTGCTTAGTGACTGTATTTTCTCTTGTGTAGGTTTCCCTGGCTCCTCTGGTAGGGTATTTCACCTTGCCAGGGAGGCTGCATGACAATGGGGTTGAATCATGCCTCGATCAGTGAAGTGGTTTCAAAAGGAAATCCTGTTCAGCTACTTTGTTTTCATCCGGTTCTTGAAGAACAATTATTCGCTATAAATAGCTCCCAGTCACATTACGCAGGGTCATAACTCCTGCTGGCTATTAAGAGTCGGCAACCAGAAAATTTAATCGGGAAAGAATGTTAGATTAAAATAAATCTTGAGTTTTCATTCTTTGGTGGGTCCCGCGAAAACAAGCTGTTCTTCTCCACGGTGCTAGCGTCTTTCTTTCTCTCTCTCTTTTCATTTTCAGCAGAATCGTTCTTCTGAAGCCCAGCAGGACGCCACCATTGCCACCATCGCGATCGTCGTCACTAACGCCACGTGTGCTGTGCGCGTAGCCGCCATCACCAAGGGGGGGACCGGGCCCTTCAGCGACCCAGTGGTAGTTTTCATTCCAGGGGACGGTGAGAACAAATAGTATGGTCGTGTCATTAAAGAGGCATTTCATTTCAAAGAGCCCACTTTGTTTGTGGCATTGCCTGGCTTTGGAACCTGAACAACTTCCTTGTAATGTACATGTTTGACGTGGAGAATCTGCCTAGCTAGCTAAATGTGTAGTTCACACACACGGCTCTGTTTGATTACCTCTGCCCCGGCAAGTCGGTGTGGAATTCGTCCCACTGCAGCTCCCGCAACGGTAGCAGTTGATCGGACCCGTAGTGTGGACAGGCTACGTGCGTTTTTTACCACCGTGTCCTCGTTAGCAGTGCCCACGCCCATGTCTGCACAAAGCTTCCGTTGCTGGAGCCTCCCCGCAAGCCAGAGCGTGCATCAGCCTCTACTTGCTCTGGTCGCTGCAACCAGCTAAAGATCAGACCTGAGGGGGTGGGGGCCTCGTGCCCCTGGCAGAGGGGCCCGTTCTCCAAGCCAGCCGCCTCTGGGAGAGGGACCAGCTTCGAGGTTTTATGAGCTTCCGAAGCCTTCTCCAAGTGGGCCCTGGCTCTGCGAAGGCCCCAGCACGGTGGCGGTGGGGATGAGGGGCACGCGTCTCAGCTGTGATCCTCCACAGCTGGCCCTCCCTTCAGGTCCTGGCAGCTCACGCAGCTCCAGCCGGATTGCCTCTTTCCCAGAGGCCCTTGTTGCTCTTCCGCAGACCTGGCTACTCCTCCTAATACAGCCACCCCCCTGCTCCAGCTCCTCATCCAGCCCAGTCTCCAGGCCTGGGTTCTCCCCAGCCTGCCGCCACCTGGGATTCTGTTGGGGGGCAGGGTCAGAGGTCATCCAGATGCTGGTCGCTGGCTCACACACACGTGGGCGTGCGCGCACACACAGAGAGCCTCTCTGGGGCCCAGTCCAAAGCCCTCTGGATGCCTCCCCACCACTTCCGTGGGTTTCGGCCCAGGCTCCAGAGGGCTTCTGGGCGGGATGTGCCTGGCAGAGCCTCTCCCAGCGCTCCTGTAGGGGCTGGTGACTAGCCAGAGCAGAGGGCGGGTGCAGAGTGTCCGAGGGGGTCTGCCTTCTGCGCTCGGGTCTTTCCATGCCCTGTGCAGATTGGCTGTTTGCCCCAACCCCCCCCCCTCCCCCCGCAGCACAGTCTCTCCACCTGCCCCTCTTCGCTTCCTCTGCCCCTCACCCACTCACCTTGTCATTCCCCTCTGAACAACCCCCTGCCCAACAGATTTCACCCGCCCACCCTGGCAGAAAACAGCCGTGCTGCTCACAGCCGCCCCCTGCTCTGGCTACGTGTGTGGAACAGCATTTCCCCTGTCCTGTGGCTGCCTGGTAAGCTGCCCCAGGCAGGTCTCCTATTCTGTGTCTGGGCAGCACCTGGCCCAACGGGGCCCTGATCTTGGTTGGCCCCTGGTTGCTTCGGTAATAGAAATGATAACATGCCCAGCATTGGGAAAACACATCCCCAAATCCCCGTACACCTGGGTTTGTTGTTCAAGTAAAGCCATGCAGTGATGTATTCCATCCCCATGCAATGTTTTCCTAGTGCTTCTGTATTTCTTTCATGCCTTCTGTGGTTTGAATGCATTGTTGGCTTTTAGTTGTTTAAAAGCCCTCCACGTGTTGTTTATGTTCTTTACTTTGGGCTGTTTTAGTAGGTTTGACAGCCTCCGCGCCTTCCTCGACTCCAGCGCCGGGAAACAGCCACTCCTTTGCCATAGTCCTTGGCTTTCTCCTTGGGATCGTCGCCATTGGGTTAATCCTGTATTTCTCAGTGATGGTCAGGAAAAGACGGATGGAAACCAAGTTTGGGTAAGTCGCAGAAAATAACGGCTGCGGTAGCACTGAGCGCTGGCCAAAGGGAACGCCTTGCGTGGGGCTAGCTGGTGGCCCTGGGGTGGGGCAGAAGTGGGCTGACCAAGGGGAGCAGCGGGAGGCGTTCTACCTCTGGTTTTAAATAAACCTTCACCTCTCCTATTCGCCCCAGTAGCTGCCAGCGCACACAGCCTCGGCTCTGAGGGGCACGGCCAGATCTTCGTGTTGTATGGAATGTGACATATACTCTGCTCAAGGCAAGGGTCCTATCACCACCTGCCCTGTACCTTGCGGAGCCTTTAGCTGGGCAGCTTTGGCTCAGCATCCCTCTGTCTGGGTGCTCATGGAAGTTACTCAGTTCCCTGGCTCCAAAGAGAACACATTGGCCTGACAGCGCTGAGATGGTTTGGGAAGAAAACAAGAATAAGGTGCATAATGAAGAACATGGGAGGGAAGTGATTTCCACAAGAGCGAGAGAGGCATCAAAGGGTTCCAAACCAAACCAAACCAACATGCTTTCTAGTGTCCAAAATGTAATTCTAGCACGAGGTGGCCTTGCCTAGCACCGTTTCTTATCCACACCACACTGACCGTGTGCTTCAGCCCGTCTGGTGGGAGGACCACCTATTACAGACACCAAGCGCTGGCTGCTTTGTTCTCCCAGGGGGTACCGATCAGGTTTTCTCCCCTTCTTTTTATAGTCCAGTAATCCTTGGAAATGGATTATTTCAAAAGTAAGCCACTGTGAGGGCACACGGTCTGTCACTAGGGAGAAGGGGCTGCCTGGCAGGTAATCCCTGAGGATGTCCACAGCCCGCTTACGTGCCAGAGCCGCCTTCTCAGTAACCGAATACACTCTCTCCCTGGGGACCAGCTTTCTGCTCAGACGTGAGCCTGGTGCTCCTCACCTGCAGAGCCTGCTCCCAGCCAGCATTGCCTCAGTCCCGGGGCCAGCACCTTCAACAAAGCCCCACTGTTCTTCAGCAGCTGAATTTTCCCCACTCGTTACCCAGCACCACTGAAAAGGACAAGCCAAAAAAATAAAGGCTAAATACACTGGGTCAAATGTATCCTCGCGGTGACTCCATGGAAGGCCTGGGATGCCATCTAAGACACATCGGATCCATTTTGCCCTATGCCGCATCCCTGAGGTGGACAGAACTCCCTCTGAGGTAGTTGGGAGTCTTTCACAAGAGTGGAAGGGCCGAAACGTCCATCTCCTTCCTCAGCGTTTCTCTTTTCGTTCAAGGTTCTTTTCCTTGCTTTGGAACAGCCTGGAAGGAAAGTCGCCCCGGGGAGCCTAGTCTCTCACTGGCCCTTCAGCTGTCTCAGCTTCAGCTCAGTAGCAAGAGAGAGAATATTCAGCAGCAAGCAAAGTTTTGCAAATGGACAATGAAAGCCCCTGGCTCATCTCCTACAGCACCCATATAACAATCTCCTAACCCTTGAGCAGCATAAGTAACTTCAGTATGTGATTGTCAACTATTATTATGCAAACATCGTTTTCTATGCTATTTACGTTGCATCATCAGTATTGGAAATTTCTTTATAAACCCAGCATTAAGGGGCTCTGGCTAGCTACCGAGATCTAACCATGAAGAAAAGTTCTATACATCGATAAAAATGAATCAAGATTGTTTTAGCTCACTTAAAAAACAGCAAACCTAGGGATTTGGTTTGGTTATTTTGTAGGAGGAGAGGGGGGATTTTTGTGCATCTCTAAAAACCAGCTGCATTTTACATCAGAATTTGGCCTGCATATGCTCAGTGCTGTGGAATAGCACTCTTCGCTGCATTGAAAATACTTACACTGTGAAGGAAGAATTTTGTTGTTACAAAGGCAGAGGAATACGGCCGTACTGCGGAAGAGTGAGACTAGTTCTGCCTCACGTCAGGGTTTGTGGGCTGTGCCGTTTTCTTGTGCAGCCCTGCTGCTGATACTCTTCTAGTACACTTGTTCTAATCCTTAGCCTATCTGAGCAGAGTGCCTGCCAGCACTGCATTGTGTGGTGGCTTTTAATATCGTGGACAATGGTCCCTTATTAACAGCACGCATTCTCCCTTGTGACCTTCTAAGCTGGGTTTCAAAGTAGGCCAACCCCTGCACTTTTTGTTCATAAACAATTTGATTCTTTCTAGTCAAAACTTTTTAAATAACCAGCTCTTTACGCGTGTGCAAAAACATGCTTCTGGGAATTCAGCCCCACGGGAATCTTGATGTAACGGCTGTTGTTTGTCTTCGCACGTCTGCAGTCGTGGTAAAAGCTCCTCCCCCCTGGGAATGGTCACTGCAGCTTTCAATACTGAAACCCAACTTGGGTTCCTGTGGGCGCAGAGCACTGGAGTAAAGGAGTTTGCAAAAATGGATAAATGAATCCTAACTGCTCTGGCTTTCCCAAGGAGTTACACTGGATCCCAGTCTGCCAACGGGTGGTGTATCTGGATCCCATCTGCCTACTGGGCGAACATCCTGTAAATGTCTCTTCCCGCACACGTCTGTTTGGCTAACACGTGTTAAAATCGGCACGTTGGTTTTCCCTGACGCTGCCTTCCTGCAAAAGGCCCTGTAGGGTTCAGTGTCTGCTACAGTCAAGTCAGAAAGGTTCCAGAGCACATTTCAGTCTCAGGCCTGCAGCATTTTGAGCTCTGGGATTCGCTGCTTGTTTGGCCGTAATCCACTTTTGTCTCTGAAAGAGGAAGGGGCTGAAGTTTTGAGATGACTGGCTAACGCTGAGAATGGGAATCGGCTCTGCTGACAATAGAGAAGCTCTTGGTTTCTTTGTGAGACGTGACAGTGTGGGTAAACAAATACCCAGTACACCAATATTTCACAGTGGGCTCTTCAGTCTAGCAGAGAAAGGTCTAAGACCACCCGTGGCTAGTAGGTGAAACTAGACAAAGTCAGACTGGAAATAAGGCATCAATTCACAGTGAGGGCAATTAGTATTGGAACAGTTTATCAAGGGTTGTGGTGAATCCTCCATCACTGACCATTTTAAAATCAAGATTGGGTGTTTTTCTTAAAAGATCTGCTCCAGGAATAATTTGCAGGTCTCTGGCTTATGTTACACAGGAGGTCAGACTAGATGATCACAATGGGGCCGTCCGGCTTTAAAATCTATGAAAGGACAGTGATCGCAGGGCAATATTATTATCAATACACACTCTGCTGTGTGATTAGGAAAATGAGCCATTCGTGTGGATGAAGTGGTGTTTTTCCCCCACCATCCTTTATAGAGCAGCGTAGGACTGGTGGGCACTGCAAAGTTACATCGGCATAGCTGTGTTTCTCCGGGGTGTGAAAAATCCACATCCCTGCGAGACGTAACTCCACCGACCTAACCCTGTTTACGCAGCGCTGGGTGGAATGCCTTCAGCCATCGGAGAACCCCTCCCATCATTGTAGTAAGTGGCTGCACCGAACCACTGGCTGTATCAAGTGTAGACGTAGCAAATGGCGATTTTGACAAGACCTTGTGAACAAGGGGATGGTAGCATGCCGCAGGAGGGAAAGGTACTGGGTGCGAGAGAAGGTGTGGTTCCTTTTCACCGTAGCCATCTCAGGGAGGCGAATGTACTAGCCTGGGCAGCTGCGGCCCTACGCTCCAGGAAGAGAGAGGAAAAGTCCTTCCCCTGGCACACGTTCTGTTTCTGTCCCCTTAGGGATGCTTTCCACAGCGATGATTCAGAGCATGCCGTCAGCTACACGGCAAAGCAGTCCTACAGCCGGAGAGCCATTGAACTGACACGTAAGCTCCGATGGATGCCGTTGTACGGGCTGTTGTGGAGAGGGCGGTGGAATACGTGGGAATTTGGGCAGAGGGCTGATGGTGAAACAGGACCACAGGGAAAGAGCCTGTGTGTGTGCATGCAACCAAACGAGGCATCAATTAACCACAAGGGACCTGATCCTGGCCCCGCTGGAGCCTCCTTGTGCTGGTCCAACGTCACAAAAATGGAGTAACTGGCTACCTGGGGATTCTCCTGGCCTCCTTGGGCCTCCCCCATTCCAGCATGCACCGGGGCTGGACCAGGCCCACACGGAGGGGCTGAGCACCTTCACGTGCCATGGGCCTCAATGGGAGCTGGGGGCTGGTACGTTGGGGGGCAGCTTGTCCCTGGAGCGCTGTGGAGAGAGCAGTTCTGCCCTCCCCCACAGGCACCAGGGCAGGATTTAGCCCTAAAGGTGCCTCTGATGTTTTGTCCACCTGTGGCGACCATCCTGGGTTTGCAGCATCCGGAGCACGTGCTGAGCTCCCCAGCTCACCAAGGGCCTCTCTTGCAGTGGCCAGCCTGGGTGTCAGCGAGGAGCTGCAGCAGAAGCTCCAGGACGTCGTGATTGACAGGGATTCCCTCACCCTGGGGAAGATTCTGGGAGAGGGTGAGTGGTGCTGAATGTCCGGAGCGCCATGGGGGGTTGGACGCAGTGCTGAATCTGCATGGTGTTAGCTGGCACCGTTGCCTCTGCCCATGTGCGGGTTTCCCTGCATCCTCCCAAGACCCAGCGCCTGGTGGGGAGGCAGGGTGGCCTAGAGGACAAGGCACTGGGCTGAGACCCATGAGACCTGGGTTCTCTTCTTGGCTCTGACACTGACTTTGGGCAAATCCCTTCATGGCTCTGTGCCTCAGTTTCCCCTCCCACCCTTGTCTGAGTTGTGAGCCCTTTGGCACAGGGACGGCCTTTTGCTGTGTGTCTATTCGGCCCCCAGCACAAAGGGCCCTGATCTCTAGGACTATTGTAGTAGACGGGAGAACACGGAGGGCCAGTGTGTGCTCAGAATGCCTGCCCCAGACCCTCACTGCACAGGGAGCCGGACTGCTACTACATAGATAGCACACTGCCCTGCCAGGGAAGCATGGCCCCGTCTCTTCCCCATCCCCACGGGGATGATGTGTGACCCCAGCAGCTGCAGGCTGTAGCTGGGCATGGGGGTGTGGAAGGCTCCAGCCCCTCCCCTTGCTAAGCACCTTGTTATTACCTAGCCCTGCTCTGCCAGAGCCGAGGCCCTGCCGCCATCCCCAGCTGCTATGTCCTTTACTCTCTGGGCTGGCCAGCACCACACTGCCTGTGTGAGTGGAGCAGAGCTGCAGTCTGACTGGTGCTTAGCCTGTCCGTGCTCCAGCCCCGTGTGCGAGTCCATCGTCCCCCCGGGCTGGGGACAGCCGGTCGCAGCAGCTGTGGTGTGTCCAGCGCAATGCACCGTCTCTCCTCTGTGTGTGGTGTGAGCCAGGCACGGCATGGGCCAGATGTGCTCTGCCCTACCAGCATCCCTGCGACAGCCTTTGGGTCTCTCGTGCAGAGGCTGGGTGGTGCCGTGGGGCTGTGGACAAAGGAGACTGTTCCTTCTCTCTCGTGGTACAGGAGAGTTCGGGTCAGTGATGGAAGGGCACCTCAGCCAGCCCAGTGGCACTGTGCAGAAAGTCGCCGTGAAAACCATGAAGTGTAAGTAGCGGTGACAGCTGTGAGATCTAGTGCTGTTTGGGTTTTGTCACAAGATTTGCCCAGCTCGCCCAAGGCCAGGGATGAGAGCGCCTGGCGCTGCGGGTGAATGCCAGCCCAGCCCAGCCCATGGGACCATTAACGTGGCTTGTTCTAGAGACTGCGTTGTCAGGCAGGGGATTGTCAGCCATAGCTAAGCAATAGCTGCTTGGATACAGGGTATTTCATGGGGATCAATGAATAACTAGGAGGAGGAGATAAGGACCCTCCTCCCCAGTAATCCCCAGGAAAGGGCCCCTGGGGTCAGTGTCAGGTGATCGAATTGAGGGTAAGGGAAGACCTAGGGGAGACATTTGCTGTGTGGTGTTGCTGTGTGTGTCCGTCCCTTTCTAGAGAACAATACCCCGTAGCCAGATCAGCCAGTCTGATTTCTGGAAAGCGCGCTCAGTGCTCAGCCCAGAATTGCAAATCCTGAAAAATGAAAACGAAGCAAAAGGATCTCTCTCTGGGGGCAGGGAGCTGCTGGATGGCAACGGGGTTTCTTCTTACCCTTTTCTATTGAGTGGAGAATTCGCTCGCTGTTCTCCAGATTTCATCGAGTTATTATTGATTATCTGCGTTACTGTAACGTCCCCCGTGTGTCTCTCTTGTTTGCTGCCCCAGACAGTTCATTCCCCAGGCACTTTGCTTTTCTGCAGAATTTTAGGTGAGTGTTTGCTCCCCACCCAAGGGAAATGTCAAAACCCACCTCGTGCTGGACCTGCCGCGCTTTCAGAATCTGCCGTGGACGTGGTGGTGTGGCCATCTCATAAAGCATTTCTGGTGTGTGCTGTGGGCAAGAATGCTGGAAAATGTCATTGGATGGGCTGCATGGTGCTGCTTCTCTTTCCAGGTCTCCTCCCCAGAGCCAACCCCTGGGCTCACGTCTGTTATAGGTAAATTGTCCCTCCCCACATCAACAAAGGAAAGCGCAAATTGCCAGCGTTTTTATAAGCAGTGCTGTAAACTAAAGGGACTCGATCTGGGCTGTGTGCCGCAGGATTTACAGTAGATGTCGCACACCGCCCTGGGAGAGCACCCCCTGCTGGACGCTCACCAGGCTGCTGTGTTTGGGTCCCACACTCCAGACCTTTGTGGAGTTGAACTCTTCAGGGATCCGTGCTGCTTGAAGCAGACAGACAAGCAGCTAGACTTTGCAAAGGTTTCTAAGCACATGTACTCTTTGCTTAGATAGCACAAAAGATAGACAGATCCAGACAGACCCTATAAACTGTTCCCTGACTCTGTTTCCCCACCGCTCTGGAGCGCTGTCTGGCTTAGGTCAGAGTCCACTAGGGGGTGGAGTTTCCTCCAAGGCACAGAAAAACTGGCCACTCATGCAAGAGTTGAAGAGATTCAAGGGTGGAGCTAGGGCGCTGCTTCCTGATTAGCTGGTGTCTGCTCCGGCATGCTGCATGCATGCAGAGCAGGACCAGGGTGCTGAATGGACCCTTGGGCGGCTGCGGTGCACGTCGAGCTGTGACATGCATGGCCAGCGTTACCAGATTGCTGCACACGCGGCCACCCATGTAGATAGCCAGAAATACCCAGCAACAGCAAAACACCTGGCAAACAACGTCTTTGGACCGGCAACCAACAAGGCAGTAGAAAAAACAGCCAGGCCAGTCAAAAACCAGCCAGGTGGCAACCCCATTAGGGAGTCAAGGATTCTCCTCTTGGTCATGGAGTTTCGCTCCCTCTACTTTGTGGCCAGCTTTCTTCTTTCTCGGCTGGTCCTGCAGTTAAATCAAGACCATCACATACTCTCCCACTATGAAAGCATGCCCCCTCTCCTGCCCACCTTCCCTGTGTGTCTGTGAGTCCACTGTGTTTCTCAGTTTCTCAGCCTGGGTGTTTTGAAAAAGCTGGCCCAACACCTGGTTTCTTTGTTCTGTTGTTCTGGAGATTTTCCACTCTCTTGAATTCAGGCTCCTGCAGACAACTGAGAGAAACCAGCTTCTCCCAGCTTTCAACCATCTGTCTGGATCAACATGCCCTTAATGACTGGCTCTTTCAAAGATACCAGGTCGGGGAGGGAATACCTTTTACTGGACCACCTTCTGTTGGGGAGGAAGACAAGCTTTCAAACTACACAGAGCTCTTCTTCAGCTTGTCTTCTGACTCGAAGAGCTGTGCGTAAGCTTGAAAGCTTGCCTCCTTCACCAGCAGAAGTTGGTCCCATAAAAGGTTTTACCTCCCCTGCCATTTCTCTCTAGGTTGTACATGGACAGCTTCCCCAAATGCCCAGAGTAGACCAGGGAGACAGAACGCAGATCAGCATTTTACAGCGGCGGGACTGGAAAAACCAGGCAGAGTTTAGAAGAGAAACTGTCTTCCTGGGCTCTCTCTGCAGCACCTGCAGATAAACCGAGCACCCCTCAGGCACTCCAAGCAGGAGTTGTACCCAGCCCTAGAGCGATGATTCAGGTGATCCAGGAAATGTAATAGACAAGGTGCCCAGAGATCACACAGACCTTCATGTCTGGGCCTGGGCACGGATCTCTTCTGCTGGAGCTCAGGGTAGCCAAAGCTTTGCTGCACTCGGCTGGTGCACCGAGACAGCGGCACGCTGCATTAACACAGCCCACACCATGCACTCTGTGGGAAGCAGGCCATGCACAAACCCACCCACCCAGCTGTGTGAGTGCTGGTCGCGATATTCCCTGCTCGCTTATGAACCCTAAACCGGAATAACCCTTTCCTCTTCCGTCACCCTCCCCCTGCTCCGACTGCTGCCCAGGAATAAAATGAAAGCCATGCAAAGCCCACGCTTGCTGCAGCAAACATCCTGATGCAGGCCTGCTACCCATCTCTTGCTTTCTGCCTGGTAATATCGTTCCTTTCTCCCTCGCCTAGGAGGGGGCTTTTCTGACAACTACGCAGAGTAGGAAGTCCTGGCAATAAGACCCATCACAACAGAAATGATTTGGGGAGTTTAATCTTTTTTTGTTTTAAGTGACCTCCCTTTTCTGGTGTTTTCAGTGGAGAACTTTTCCCAGCGAGAGATCGAAGAGTTCCTCAGCGAAGCAGCGTGCATGAAGGACTTCAATCACCTAAATGTCATCAAACTCCTAGGTACGTGGACAGCCCCCAGGGGGGAGGTAACTTTTCCATCACAAGGGAATTTTGCCATTAGCAAAAGCATAGGGCGATGCTCCTCTCCGATCTGCATTGCCCATCTGCTTCCAATATTTTCCTCTCCCGAAATGCACAGGTTTCTGACTAGTGCATGTTAAATTTGACAGCATGTCTACATTCCAGCAGAGAGCAGCAGTCCAGATCCGAAGACGATTCCTGTAGGGAAAGGGCCTGGTGGTGGCAGCTGGGGAACAGTTCTGGGTTGGTGCTGTGTATTGCACCTTTACCTTTCTAGGCCTCTGCTCTCGGCAGCAGCCACTCTGTAGCTCAGAGCCTGCTCAGGGCGGGGTGACGCTGGGCTCTCGTACGGAAATCTGGCTTGGGTTCTTTCCATCAGACTGACTGACAGTGACTGCTGCTTGCAGCTGGGTACGCCCAGCACAGGGACCCCAGGATAGTGGAGCTGAGACCTGCTGGCCCAGCATTGCCAGAGCACGCGGACACCCCTGCCCTGATGTTCCCCTGTACCCAGTGAAGGGGACAGACAGGAGTGGGTATTGAAGAGCCAGCTACATGAGCTCTACGGGACCCACAGATTGCCCAGCCAAGGGCAAGCCCCAGCTTTCTCACCAAGCCTTCCCAGGACTCAGATCCAGGATGGGTGTCAGTCTGGGCAATGGCCTGGCCTGGTGCGCGACGCTCCTCTTCCATTTGTTCCAGGTGTGTGCATAGAGCTGAGCTCCCGGCAGATCCCGAAGCCCATGGTGGTTCTCCCGTTCATGAAATACGGCGACCTGCACAGCTTCCTGCTGCGCTCGCGGTTTGAAACAGGCCCCCAGGTAACGAACTCAGCTGTTGCAAAGCACTGGCGCACTTAACCAACAAGGCTGCTAGGAGGAGCTGATGCCAGGTTGTATTCAGCATTAATTATCAACCCAGAGCCAGATCTTCCAGTGCCTTACGTTGAACTGTGAAAAAAATCTGGCTTTATTTTTCTGAAACATGAAAAGGACTCAGGTTTCAGAGGGGTAGCTGTGTAAGTCTGTATCAGCAAAAAGAACAGGAGTACTTGTGGCACCTTAGAGACTAACCAATTTATTTGGGCATAAGCTTTCATGGGCTAAAACCCACTTCATCAGATGCATAGAATGGAACATATAGTAAGAAGATATTTATACATACAGAGTACATGAAACAATGGGGGTTGCCATACCAACTCTTAACAGACCAATCGATTAAGGTGGGCTATTATCAGCAGGAGAAAAAAACCTTTTGTAGTGATAATCAGGATGGCCCATTTCCAACAGTTGACAAGAAGGTGTGAGTAACCATTGGGGGGGGGAATTAGCATGGGGAAATAGTTTTGCTTTGTGTAATGACCCATCCACTCCCAGTCTTTATTCAAGCCTAATTTAATGGTGTCCAGTTTGCAAATTAATTCCAATTCAGCAGTCTCCTGTCTTTGCAAAACACCAGGGAAGAAATCCCACCCCGACTGAAATCAGTGGAGTTTTGCCATTCACTTCACAGGGGCCAGGACTTTGCCCTGGAGATAAAGATGGCAAAGTGTTTTTACACTCCCTTCGTACAGCTGAGAAACTGAAGCATGCAGCGGCTGAGTGACTTGGCCCAGGGAGTGTCTGAGCTTTTCATGGTTTGTGAAGAATAAAACCGAGCTGCGCTTCTCCATAAGAAAAAGCAAAGGGAGGCGGGATAATGAACATCCACTGTTAGTGCAACACGGTTACATTGGCTCTTGGCTCTTCAGCCTCTGGGTCACCCATTCCACTACTCACAACACTACCAAATAGAACAGGAGTGTTTTGCAGTCACATTGCCTGGGTGGGAACGCCTGCCCCAGGGTAGGGCAATGGGGAATTGGGCCCTCCATGTCTGGCTCGCTGAGAACCAGCTCATGAGGTGCTGCCGTGGTTTAAAGCTCAGAGATGTGTCTGTTTCTAAAAAGGGGGAATTCCTGTTTAAATCTTTTATCTATAAAATTCATTAGATGCTGACAAACGAATGAGATAACTGCCTTCGAGAGAAGAGGGCAGGCACCCAAAGTGTGTCTGGAGACTATTCTGGCAATAAGATTAGTCTAAGTGCATAAGAATGCAAAAAATAGTCTGTCGGGTGCTTGTGAGGTTGTCCCATCCCCTCAGCGAGAAGGCCCTGATCCTGCCCCGCTGCAGTCAGCGGGAGCTTTGCCATGGGCTTCAGTGAGTGTAACTTCAAGCCCCGTACGAGGGAAAGCATGAGAGATCCACTTCCCAGAAGCTTTGTTAATGCCGAGTTCAGTGCCCAGACACCCCTGGTCTCTGGGGTCGCATTGCGGGGCTGGGAACAGTGGTTTGGTTTTCGTTCAGCAGAGCAGCCAGCAGTGGTATTCCGTTTCGTTGCAGTAGCCATGGTGGTAGCCTGGCAGATAATGCCTCCCATTGTTTCTACACTGCCATGCCTGGCACAGATTGTTTCCGTATCTTCCTAACTAAGTAGACCCTGTTGTTTTGGTGAGTTAACCCCCGGCGGAGCACCAGTAAGACGCCACACGATGCTGAGAATCATGCAGCTGTGAGCAAGCGGAGTTGCTTGTGCTGTTCCTATTGGGCCGTGCTGAAATTGTTTCATTTACTCCTTGTGTCTGACAAAGAAGAGCTCTGACACTAAACTGATATGGTTTACCAGGCCACCCTGAACAATGAAGTATTTCAGTGCTCCCACCGCAAACAGGTCTGCCTGGGCTATGAACCACGGGAAAGCTCGCTGGTAGCTTGGCACGTAACTATGCACTGATCAAAGAGAGCCTTGTCCAACTGGCCGCTGTGTAGAAATGGAAAATGTGTTTTCTCGTTTCCCTGGGGCCCTGGCCTGTGAGTGTCTCTGCTGAGGTTTTCAAGTGGCCTTAATTCTTGTTGGGCTACATGGGAGTTGCTGGGGTCCACTTGCAGCAGTGTTTGCCGATAATGTTCCAGCCTTCGCATGCTTCCTGTACATGCTAACCTCCTCCCTCTCTTCCCAGCACGTATCACTGCAGACCTTGCTGAAGTTCATGGTCGATATTGCGCTCGGAATGGAGTACCTCAGCGCTCGGCAATTTCTCCATCGAGATTTAGCTGCTCGAAACTGCATGTGAGTTTGGTTTCTCTGTTTCATTGCGGATAGTCAAATGCCAGCCTGTGCAGGCTCTTCGTGGTGTTTCTGATGCACTCACTTTAGAAAGAAACCTTTCACTTTCCTATCAAATCTCCTCGGTCTTGAGAAACAGCCAAGTGAAAACAGCTCATGTTTTAACTCAGAACGTGGTTTGTCAGACTTTCTCTTTCACTTAGTTTTCACGGGAACGGTAGTAGGCAAAAGGAAGTCCTGTGGCCTGTGCTATGCAGGAGGTCAGACTCGATGATCACAGAGGTCCCATCCGTCCTTAACATTTGTGATGAAGGGTGGGCAGTAGGAATAAGACCTTTGCCAGCTGTTCCACTTTAAATCTTGGCACGTTTACCCTAGTAAGAAATAACATGGGGGGAGGGGTGCTTGGAGGCCCTGATCCTGGAGAAGTGTGAGTAACTTTACACCTGTGAGCAAGTAAACATAGTCTTGTTCGGCATTCATTTTAACATTTCCTTGTAAACACGGACAGGTTACGGGACGACATGACTGTGTGTGTGGCAGACTTTGGCTTGTCGAAGAAGATCTATAGCGGCGATTATTACCGTCAGGGGCGCATTGCTAAAATGCCTGTCAAGTGGATTGCAATTGAGAGCCTGGCTGATCGGGTGTACACGACCAAGAGCGACGTGGTATGTACCCCAGGTGCAAGGTCCCCGACCCTGCCGTCAGAACTCCAGTCCATGGTAGAAGCATGTAATACAGCCAGTCGTTGGAAATGTTGATCGCTGCGGGTGTTTCTTAGCCCTCTGATTTTCATATTTCGATTGTTTTAATCGGCCTGTGTTGTTTTTGGGGTGTCGCCTACATTAGCTTCATTTGTTTTTGTATCCTGAAAATGGAAAAGCCAAATAAATGAAAGCATGAGGATTTGACAGTAAACAGAGCCACATTGATGAGTGGTGCACAGATCTCTCTTTGCTTGTAAAGGCTCCTGGAATAGGTTTATTGAGTGAGCCACTGAGCTATTGTAGGACATAGCATGTTATTTCCAGCTTGGAAACATATTCACACTATGCATATAATTATCCACATTATGCAAGATCCTGATGGGCTTTAGGAAATGACCTTTCCCCATGAAATGACTCATTCAGTCCTTCTGGAAATGTCATCTTAATAGGCTTTCCCTTTGTTCTTTGTAGTGGGCGTTTGGGGTTACGATGTGGGAGATAGCCACTCGAGGGATGACTCCGTACCCAGGAGTGCAGAACCATGAAATCTATGACTACCTCCTTCACGGTCACAGGCTGAAACAGCCAGAGGACTGCTTGGATGAGCTGTGAGTATTGATGTGGTACATTCATACATGTGGACTCACTTTATCCACAGGAACATGTTTGCACTTGTCAATCTCAACTGGTTCAATAACACCCAGACTGTCAGCATTTACCCTCGCTCAGTGGCAGAGTCCTTGCTACGCGTCATTCTTCACGCTCTTCCCATGGTTTTGTGGCTCACTGTAGCTAATTGGACACAGCAACTAACGGCTGTCATGGATGTGTGGCTTAGCTTTCAAACGTGAACTTGGCTGAAACTTGGGGAATAAAAAGCTCTGGCTGAAAGCTTATTGACACAAATTACTTCCATCCGTTTCTCCTTTACAAAATAGCAAAAGAAACATTTGGGGCCAGACTTTCAGACATTGTAAATTGAGGTAGGCCCACTGATTTCAGTGGGATTGCACTGATTCCCACAAGCTGAAGGCCAGAGCCCACTGTCTGCAGTGGCGCTCCATGGAGTCGCACCAGCTGAGGATCCGGCCCTCTGTTTTTAGGGTTTCTGATGATTTCGGCATCAAACTCAGACAAAAATGTTTAAAAATTTGAGTTTTAAAAATTGGAAACCATGAGCCTTTAATTGTGCAGGGGTTTAGTGAACAGCTGCTTTAGAGGGACACGAGGAATGTATTATAAATTAATGTAGAGTTAATCGGCATATCAAGTCAGTCTGTAACTTAACTCTTTTAAAATTTTGCTTCAGCTTGAGGGTGTTCTGGCTGCTAACTACCTCAGGCTGGAGTTGCCAAGAACTTTGTAAAGCCCGGTCTGGGGGTGTGCACTTGGAGTTTGGCTCTCAGGAGCTGAGCTGCTGCCACGTGTAGGGCTTCCCTAGCATTCCCGAAGGAGCTGCTCCTGGAGGGGATCTTCAGGGGGCGTGCTGGGTGATACTGTTCACATGCGAAATCCTATTGCTTTAAAAGGAAACTTGGATGATAAGGGGCCAGTTCTGCTCTCGAGCTCTTGTGCACAACCCCACTGAGGCCCAAAGAGATGCTCAGCATGGGCCCTTCTGTCCTTAACATCTGTAAATCTATGGAGAAGAGACCTTACAATGTGGGTGAGCTCTGAAGGCGTTTTAAATGTCTGGGCAGCTCACAGAGGGGTTTGTATTAAAAGTTGGCTGAACTGCCAGAGTCTCTGAAGAATTCTTGTGTGCAGCTCAAAATGTTTAAAACCCCCACAGGCCAAGGGGAAACCATGTCAATAAACAGGCCTCTGGAAGTTGCATAATAACCGTCCCTAAAAGGGAAGCGCTCAAAGATAGTGGCCAAAAGCCCCGACCTCGCTAAACAGGCATTCCCTTTGCAAAGGTCTCTCCTGCTCTCTCCCCTTCTCTGTGCTGCTGCAGCTTGGTAGAGAAAAGCAGCCCGTCTGCGAACTCTGCCTGGCACACAGCTAGAGCCTCCTCTCACGCTCTGGCTCTGGGCGTGCTTGTTCGAATTTAGTCGCAAGAGTAAACCGTACTGTTTCCCCACTGCTTTCAGTGCCGTTGTAACAATTGTTTGGCAAAAGAGCTGCATGGAAAGTGTGATTGCTGCCAGGTTATGGCATCTTGGCATAAATTCAAGCCCTGAAGTCGTGGTTTTGTGGGTGTGCTATTTTAAATGCCCTTCCCTGAAGCGAGTCATGAATAAACCGTTGATTTGGATCAACCTCTTAGATGGCAGATGAGGGTGAATGTCCAAGGATTAATGGCTGTAATGTGTCACTGTTAATTTCCAATTAGTTATACCCTCCAGCATAAACAAAAGGAACCTGCAATACTTTTTCTCATCAGGAGCAGATCCAGCAAAGTGCTACGTGCCCTCAACTCCCAAAGACCAGTTGGCCTGTAGCTTGGCCTTGATCGCTGCACTCTCGCTTGTGGCATCCGGCAGTACCGTTTTTAGTATTGTATTTGGGGCACTGAGGTCAGTAAGCGTCAAGTCTTAACAGACATGATATCTTCCACTGTTGTTTGCAGCCTCGCTGCAGCCATGTTGGTCCCAGGATATTGGAGGAGTGAGGTGGATGAGGGTTTCTTCACCCAGCAGGTCTTAAAAGAAACAAACGTCAACTAATAATCAATTAATGATACAGAAATCCATGTAATTGGGCCCCTGAGTGTAGTTCTCTATAAAATTTAGAGAGAGAGAAGGTGGATGAGGTAATATCTTTTACTGGACCAACTTTTGCTGAGGTACAAGCTTTTGAGCTACAAAGAGGTCGTCTTCCGCCTGGGGAAGGCAGCAGAGTGACTGAGGTAAATACAGGTTGGGGCAGATTGTTAAGCAGAAGGGGTAATGCACGTTGGTGGCAGTCATTTGAAATGAGGTGGGCAGTTGCGGGTTACGTAGCTGTGCCTAAAGGGTTTGAGCGGGACAATGCTGGCAGTGTTGTAGCTGTGTTGGGCCTGGGAAATGAGAGAGGGTGTATCTCGAAAGCTTGTCTCTTCCACCAGCCTCGCCCACCTTGTCTCTCTCAAATTTAGAGGCAGCCTGGAAAATTGTTGGTTTGGTTTTTTTTTTAAAGGAAAAATGACCCATAGTTAAACTTTAAGTTGTTTTCAGCTGATCAGGGAGAGAAACGAGGGTTGATTAACACACTCTTCACATTCTAGTTTATACCGAAAGAGTGAAGAGAAATGTGCAGAGCATCAGATGACCATAAAGAAGCAGAGGCATATCTTTGCTTTCGAAAAGACACCTGTCTTAGGCCCTGCCATAAGGTACTAGCTGGCAGTGTGCTGTCACTTCTGATGTCCTGGGTTCAAATCCCTCTGCCAGCCCAAAGGGGTCCGTTTCAGTTGCACTGAATGTAAAGATGTCTTCCCACCACCCCAGTGAAGGAGTTAGCTTCATTTTACAGACGGGGAGAACTGAGCTATAGAAAGGTTACAGGTCACCAGCTCAAGGCCACCCAGTGAGTTGGTGTCCGAGCTAGGATTAGACCTTCACAATTCCTGGCTCCCAGTGTTGTCCTAGACTATTCTGCTTTTCCTACCGCTGTCAACTTCTGCGACCGACCGTGCTCAAGTGGCCAGTCAATGATTTCTCTGTGAGCAACAGAGCGCATGGCAATAGTGAATGTGACAACAGCTGCCTTTCCTTTCCAGCCCGGAGTCAGCTTTTGTTGGTCACTGTAGGTGGTGGCACCGGAAAGTCTACGCTTGCCTGTCACCTCCGAGGTAGAAGAGTTTATCTAGATTCCTCCTCAGAACACTTTACTCGGAGGACATTCCCGTCCCCATCAAGCAACAAATACTCTGCTGCCCCTGGGACTCGAGGGCGATAAGAGGAGGAACTCCAGTTGCAGGAGAAAGATCTATTTATAGATGTTGGTCAGGTGCTGGGCAGAGCCCCCTAGTTGAGGTTTGCTGTTAAATTATGGAATCGACCTCTTTGTTGACATGTGAAGAATGCAGCGTATCTTTCCCCAAGTGACACCATTTGTTATCGGAATAGCGATGGAATATTCTGAGAATTTACAAGTAAAATAAAGTTAAAATTAATATCACAGGGACCCTTTAAGGGCTGTGTCACCTTGAACCAGATCCTTTTTGTTCTGTGTGGGCTCAGCTGAGGCATTTTCTACCTACCCCAAAGTTGGTGACTCTGGAGTACACCTTGTCTCTCTCATAGTCTGGGCCCACGACAATACTGCATAGGCCTATAGCAGTAATTTTGGAAGATAAATGGTTAGGAGCAATGGTCATTTTTCTCATAAAGGAAAGCCTCTCCTTCAGCAGAGCCAGAAGGATGAAAGGATGTTCTCTTTCAACCACGGCTGTCCTGTGTGTCGTTCAGCACCGTTTAGTGAACAGTGCAGCTTCCTGAAGAACTGTTCTATTTCCTTGTGCTTTCAGGTATGAAGTGATGTACTCCTGCTGGAGAACAGACCCCCGGGAGCGACCTGCATTCCCAGAGCTAAAACTCCACCTGGAGAAGCTATTGGAAACTTTGCCCAAAGTGAGTGGGTCTGAAGACGTCATTTATATCAACACAAGCTTGCCGGAGGAGAGCGAGGAGCTGATGGAAGAGTCCGAATTCCCTCAGACAGACGTGGCTCTCAATCCCAGTTACGTAACTGTGTCCCTTTCCCCCAAGCCAGATACCACGGTTGTCACTGCAGATGTCCATGAAAGTGATCAGCAGGAGGAAAGGTATATCTTAAAGGGGGAGACAGACGAACAGACTGGCAGCACCCTGACTCTGGAACAGGGGCACGCCCCTCTTCTGCAGGGCACTGTCGCCCGAAACGGGGCCATGTGGTGTCCAGCCAGCCTGATGCTGGGCAGCTTGTTAGGAGATGAACTGCTGTATGCAGATGACTCTTCTGAGGACTCTGAAGTTCTGCTGTGAAACAAGAACTGAGCTATTCGGAGGCCAGATGTTTGCAGCGAATGTTTCACTTGGCGTATTTGTGTCTTACAGAAATAGCATTGTAAGGTGACTGGGCCATTCCAGCCGTCTAGCGAGTGGCCAAGGCAACACAAGCAATCTGAGTTTGTACAAAGTGATGTCTCTGTCGATCGACACCAGAGAGTTGGCAGGATTATGTTTTAATAAATCACAACCTGTGGTGGTCTATTTTATTTCTTCTTCCATTGCTGTCTTGGAATTGGAGTCTTTCCCTCCCCTGCAGCCGTTCCCTACGTTATAGCTCAGTGTTAAAACCCTGGTGTTCATGCTCTTCTCTTTTTTATTAAATGGAATAAGTGATAGTACAGTCTTGGGATGTTTCTGCTGTTTAAAAACTGCATGAACAGGGGCTAACAGTGTCAGAGCTGTAGTTACACTGTCCCCTTATACACAATCTGCCCTGCCCATGGGATAGAGCTGTAGAACTGAGCTCAGGATTTGGTATTTGGAAGGTGACTGGTGAAAGGGCTGTATTAACAGGTTACAGCCCTGGCAATGCTGTACGATGCCAGATCGGTTCACTCACGCGCCCCCTTACCTCCTGCACAAGCGCCAGGCAATGCAGGGACTTCTCCCGCATAGCGTTTCCCTTGTAGGAGACAGCCCAAGGCGGCAGGGGTGGAGGCAGGCCGTAGCGAAGGATGTAATGTGCACCGTCCAAAGGGATTGTGTGGCAAGCTCATTCCCTGCTTGTAGGTTGCTACGGATTCCGAGGAGCCTCCCAAGTGTAGCGTTCAGTCCCGTCCTGGAGCTCATGCCATTAGAAACCCCCTGATCCCTGCCGCACCCCTAGAGCTGCTGGGTCAGAAGCAACAGAGCGACTGAGCAGTGCACCTTCGTGGGCTGTGATCAGATGGACGTGGGACAGACTGACCTACGCTGCCCTTCGCCCCTCGGAGACAGTCAGTTGATATGTTTCTGGTAGAACGTTTGAACCGTGCCGAGGAGCCATCCTGCTGACAACATGAGAACAGCTGAGCCGGGACCTGGGGCAACTGCAGTGGGTATTTTTCATTTATTTTTTATTTTTTTTATTTTAGAGCACATAGCTAAAATTTCAAACCTGGAAATCTAGTTTGGCTCCTAAATCCATATTCAGGCACTGGAATAAGTGGCCAGTTTTCAGGCGCCCAGAGCACCTGCAGCTCCACTCGCAGGTGGCCTGGAGTATCAGCACGTCAACAAGGGGAGTAGGGCACCCCCCGAAAATCAGGGCATTTATTTTGCATCAACCTGGGTCTGGGAGCCAGCCTAACTTCAGGCGAGTGCTGATGGTGTTGGCTGCCAGTTTTGGCCCCCGGTTCAGCAAAGCACTGTGCCATGTGCTTAATGAAAGTCCCATGCTGAGCCTCCGTGGAAATCAGTAGACCTTAAACACGGGCTTAACTGCTTTGCCGAATTGGAGCCCGCACTGGTGTGGACCCAGTTCAACAAGGCCCTTTAGCATGTGCCCAACTTTACGCAGGTGAGTAGTAGCATTCATGTTACTAGGACTTCTCACTTAATCACAGTTAAGCATATGCTGAAATGCCTTGCTGCACTAGGGTCTCCGTGAGCGTCGTTCGTGCTTCCTTCCCAATCTAAATTATATGTATTAGTACCAATGTCACCACAAACTTGCAATCACAGCAACATCTGTCCAGTTTCTAGAGAGTTGTTAAAGCAGAGAAAGGGATCACAGGTTTTGACGAGAATCAAAGGTCTCTTCTTTAATAAAATGCCAGCAGTGATGTTTGTTCCCTAGATTTGTCCCCAGCTGTGGAGTCATGCTCTTTGTAAATCACTAGGAGTGCTTGCCTCTGCAGGGCCAGGGTGGAGTCTGACCCAAAGTGTGAAAAAGGTGGAACTTAGGTTGGAATCTTTGCGGTGTTGCCTCCTGGTCATATTGAAACTGTACAGATGCCAGGGGGCTATTTTTAGAGCACTCTTTGTTCCTTGTTAGGAATTTGTTTGCAGCTTTGGCCTAGGTTGTCTCAGAGTGAAAGCCATCCAGATGCGTAACTCAGTACACCCTTTGAAGATGTACATTTTCACAGTTCAGCCGAAAGTCAGAGTTTACCCAGTCGCACTACCCGAGACAGTGCCGTTATTTGCAGCTCCTGTGGCATCTTGGCTAGCCCAGGCTAGGAGCGCTTGGGGAATGCTGCCATGTCGCTAGCGGGGTGAGGCCGACTGGTGCAGTTCTGAGGAAGCTTTAATAGTTTTGTGCCATGCTGTATGACTTGCTGTATATACTGTATTAAACTAGGCCAGCTCCGTTATCAGAATCACTGGACTCCGAGGCACGGTGCCAACATCTGTCACCCTGCCTGCCTGGAAAAAAGGAAGAGTCCATGGGAGACTCCTAGCCCCTAGGGAGCTGTGCAGTCCTATGGATCTGTGGCGGGCAGACCTTTGACGTCCACACATGTATCCAGGTCCCAAAGCCGGCTGGCTGGCTTGCTCTAGAAGGCCAAATGGGACCCCCGCTCCTGAGTCTGACGAGAAGAGGAGCTTCACAAAGGAAGCAGAGAGTGTGTCAATTCGTTCAGCCCCGCACCCGGGTCTGCGCTTCCCTCTCCTTCCCTCATCCTGCTGGGCACCTGTCAGCCTGCAGGTGGCACTGCACTCACTCCGCACTGCCCCACTGGGTTGGGGGCAGACTGGCAGACATGCCCCCCACAGTTGCTTGAGCCTCAGAGCTAATATTCAAGGGTTGGTTCATGGCCGAAGCCGTGTGGACCAAACTGCAGTCCTGACTTCAGGAGCCGCACCACAAAGCAAAGCCCCAGGCTGTGCACAGCTGGTTGAGACGACGCTCAAAACCCTAGTGCGGCAAACTGGGGGTAGCAATTGTTGGTTATTTCCGATAGTAGCTGCCTTTTGCTGCTTCCTGGGTAAACTCCCCAAGGTGCTGTGTGGCTCTGGGCACAGCCAGATGCTCGTCACATGTGTCCGCATGCCGCCCGCCTGGACAAGGTGCGGACAGGAAACTGAAACCTCTGTGTGATATATATCAGTATATCACAGGCCTGGGGGAGCTCCTGGGCGGGACACTTACTGGCTAGTGTGCTACGGTCCTGTGTGCTCTTAAGCTCCCCTTGGTCTGGGTAGGGTCCAGCATTGTCCTTTTCTTTGGCCTCTGTGGCACACTTCCTGGACACAGACTCTCCTTGTGTTCCCCCCCGCCCCCCGGCTTGTGTTCCCCCATGGGAGTGGGACCTCCTCATGGTCCAGCTGCCCTAGGCCCCCAGGGCCAGCGCTGACTCCCCAGTACATCCCAGTAACCTAAGCACACCCTTTCCCAGGGCTCCACCCTTGTGGGCATTCTGGCTTAAAGTTTCCCCCTCCAGTTCCGGTGTCTTGAAAGCTGTACCACATTTACAAGCTGTCACTTGAAATGTGTAAGGGGGTTCCTGGTCCTGCTTGCAGGCAAGGGAGCTGTGTAGAGAAATGTGTGAGCTGCGGCTTTTGCAGTTACTCTGCAGAAGCCATCCTAGGCTAAGATGGGTGAGTTGTGCCTCTCTGCTTTACAGAGCAGCCTGCTTTGTCTTTCTGTGTTTTGGGTTATTGCGTGTTATCAATCTGAATTCAAAGCAATAGTGCAGTATTGCATTGCAACTTTCCAGCAAGAGTATTTTGTGTTTTTATCTAACTTCTTTGCCATGAATATAACACCAGGGACTCGTGATAATTGAAGCACATAACACACGGGCTTGTGAAGGTTTCCAGCACAATCACTCTTTCTTTATTTTAGATAGCTGAAGAGAGAGACAGGTCCAGACAAATCAATGAAACACCTGTATGCATTTCCCTGCTAGGGCTTCTTCACTGCTCATGAGTATTCTCTGGGCTCAGGTCAGAGTCCTGTAGGGTGTCCAGGGTCCCTCTCTAATACATGGCTTTTCTCCTAACACATGGCATCTCCTCTCCTTCCTTCAGCCAGCTTCCTTCTGCTCCTGGGCTCTTCTCCCTCTCTTTGAAATGGTCACCAGGAGCCCCTGGCTTTTATAACCTCCAGTCCCTTTTGTCAGGTGACTCTATGAGCAGCCTCATAAAATAATCAAGGTCCCCCCACCAGGTGATCCATAGCTTAGTTACCAGCCCACCTGGGCAGACTGGTTCTTCTGGACAGTAGCCAACTCTTTGTCCAAGGGGACTTCTCTGTGACTAGAGGGCCATCCAGGTTTAATGACCCTCCCCTGTTAGCCTGTCCCACCCCTTGTGACTTCCGTCCAACATGGAGGTAAAAAGACAGCACAGGAGACCGGTGAGGCCCATGTTTGCCTGTAGTTTGACAAAGATACAGATATACCGAGAGTTCATAATTGCAAACTGTCATTCTTAAGCTGTCCATGGACAGATTCCCCAGATCGTCACAGGCGTGTATGTAACCCTTCTGCCCGTCAGCGTTGGCAGCAACAAGGGCCGGGTTCAATATCTAGGGGATCCATTCCAATAACACAATGCAAACCGGCTCGAGCCCCCACCCCGTGACCTGGGACAAAGATATACCACCCCCGCTGGGCGCCTCCAAGAGGCAATACTTCCCCTCTCACAAGCACAGAGTCTGAGTGTAGCAAAAAGCCTTTTAATAACCAAGAGAAACAATGTGGCATTATGTTGGGGAAATACCACCAACAGGATTCATAACACAACCCATGAGCAAAAAAAACCCACCCCAAGCAAACTGGGGCATGCCCTTTCCCTTTGGTTCTTGAGTCCAGCAACCCCAAATCACCCAAAGTCCCAAAAGTCCAGTGACCCAAAAGTCTCTGTCTCTGGTCAGGGCAGCCCCAGAGTTCGAAAGTTTATCTGCAGAGCTTTACCTCCCAACCTGGGTGGAAATGGTGGGTGGGGGGGAAGAGAGAGGTAAGGGCACCTTACATGATCTGAAGCTGACCACCCCACAGCTCCATAGGCCTTCGCTCTGCTCTGCCAGCCGCCCCCACGAAGTGCTTCGCTCCGCATCCCACAAGCAGCTCCTGCCGTCCTGTGAACTGCTCCACCAGCCTATCCACGAGGCACTCCAGCCGTCCCGCAGACTGCTCCACAATATGTCTTCAGGCTCCCCCACTACTTAACACAACACTCAGTGATTTCAGCTCTTAATCAGTTCAGCTGTTTGGTGAATTCAGCTTGTAGTAGAGGAGCCTCAGTGCTGGTGCACCAAAGTGAGCTCAGCAGCCTGCAA